TCTGTATCAAATATTCACTGAAATATTGCATGTAACTTTGGGTACTCTTCGAAGCTGCAAATCTGTTTAATATTAGTAGAATTATTATTTAAATACTGATTGTAATATTGCATGTAATATTAAGCGTTATATAGTATGGAATATTGTGTTCAGCAAATTTATTGTATACAATATTACTTGCAATATTGTGTATACCAATGTGGATAATAATAGATATACTGTGTCCAATATTGAATGTAATATTTGTATGATATTGCTGTAATACTGTAAGCAGAATTGGCTATATTGTTGCAAGTAATATGTTGTGCAAAATTGTTTGTACTATTAATTGTGGGTATGTAATATTGTATGTAATATTGCATGTAATATTCACTGTAATATGGAGTAAAATATTGACTGCAGTCTTGTATGTAATATTTGGTGTAATATTGCATGTAATTATGTGCATTATTGTTTTACATTATATATAATATGGAATGTAATATCTATTACATATTGTGTAATAACGTATGTAATAATACGCATTATTAAGTGTAATACTGTACGTAATACTTTTTAAATACTATATGCAATATCGTCTGCAGTGTTGTAATGAATGTAATAATTAGGTGTGTATTATCACTTGTTATATTATAGTATACTCGTATGTAAACTTTGCAATGCGGATTGTAATATTGCACTATATACAGTACAGTATTATATGCTATATTGGCTGTAATACTGTCTGCGGTAGTGACTGTAATATTGTATTTTTGTGTGTAACACTGTCTTTAATATTGTGTGTTATATTGGCTGCAAAGTAATAATATTGTATACTATACTGTACGCAATGTCGGCAGATATAGTGAATAATATAGTGTACATGTAATATTGTAAGTAGCTTATGTATAACATCGAATGTAGTATTGGCTATAAAAATGCATATAATATGGGAGGTTATATTGCATGTAATATACTGTAGTAAGAATATTATATACTACACCTCTGCAATTAACATTTTCGAGGCCTAAGGTGTTCTTTGGTTAGGTTAAGCTAAGTTTCGTTAGGCTTGGTTTAATTTTACCCCAAAATTTTCCTCTACTTCTAAGCCCTGTACTGTCTTAAGTAAAATCGAAAAGTCAAAATATCATGAAATAAAGTAATTGCACTCTATTGAATCTTTACACATTATTTTATATATACTAATAACAGATAAGAAAAAAAATACAAATAAATCTCTTACCTGAGCAATGATCACTATCTCGCCTAGAGGTTTCCGTAATGTCATCATTTAATTAACCTTCAGTAACCTCTTTGAAGACTTGCACTAAATATCCTTGGGTTGTATGTCGACTATTTCATCTAGTTTGCGTATTTTTTATGAGATACAATAATTTGTTGTAAAAAAAATCGCTTTAAAGTGTGGTCTACCAGGCCGGAGTCACCCACTCTCTTAACGCCCGTGGGTGACTGACCAACTGGTGCTGCAGTCTTGGCGCGCAAATTTGAAAGGGGATACATTCTATAAACAATAAATGCTAAATCTATTAATAATCATATAAAGTATAATATTAGTGACAATTAAAAATGAAATATATATAAATAAAATAAAAATAAGTAAAATAATTAAAAAACAAAAAAACTCGTAAATAAAATTAAGTATTTTACACAGATGCGCTGTCGTCTGACGAACATGATAACATGACGACAACCATCCTAACCTAACTGAAGCTACCTCATGAATCAGGTTAAGTTATTAAAATGGAGAAACATTTATATTAAACATTAATACGTGTATATATAATAATGTATATATAATTAATGGCTACGTTCGTGGTACATCTCTAACATTAGCCGTTATGCCGCTTGACATCAACAACATGAGAAGTAACTCTCCTATAAAACTCTCCTTTCTCATTTTCTCTCACTTATCTCCCTTATTTCTCTCGTAACTCCTTACTCACTCCTCATTTTTTTTCCTTCCCTCTTTTGCTCATACACCCGAAATATACGTAATTATTTTCACCTCATAGTACCGGAATATATCATGACAGAATAATTTTATTAACTTTTATTATACTCTAATATACCGTTATATATTCCTAGTAATATCTAAATATAGCTTTTTATTGATGTAGTTGTATACGAATTTATCATTATATTTATCTTGTTATACTTGAAGATAACATTATATATTCCTGGTTATATACAAAATAGCATTAGGTAGTACCACACTTTGTTATAACATAATATAGGAATATATTCACCTCGTTATTCCAGAATACTGTATACCATTACATACAGCCGTTATACCAAATACAGTTGTTTTCAAATTAACTGTAAGTTAGGTACCCATTTCCAGCTTGGTGGATTGAGTGTCCCAGAAGCTTTCATATGAAATAAGCAGTAGTAGTGGTAGTAGTAGTTGTTGTTGTAGTATAGTGTTAATAGTAGTCGTAAAAGTAATGATAATGATGATGATAATTGTATTAATAATAGTAGTAGTAGCAGCAATAGTAGTAGTAGATAGTATTTCATTGAAAATACTCTCTGCGGTCTCGTCCTTCTCCCGCGGGGCATTAAGTGGCTAACCATCCTTTCTCCCGCCAGTGAAGGGGAAAGTTCTTAACCATTGTTCAGATTTTATTCTTCACTGACTTACTGACTATTATTATTATTTGTTATTATTATAAAAATTATTGGTGTCATTATTTTTATTAATAGTAGTAGTAGTAATACTAGTAGCAGTACTAGTAGTGACAGTACCAGTATTAATAGCAGTAACAGAAATAGTTCTTGTGGTATTAACAGTGTCATAGTAATAGTAGTAACAGTAGTAGTAACGGTAACAGTAGCAGCTCTCGTGGTAGTATCAGTAGTAATAGTACTCGTGGCAGTAATGTTGTTACTTTATAGTTGTTAAAAACTTTACTGAAACCTGGAAAGATTAAAGAAAGAAAAAATATAGTTTTAATAAGGTAAGACTTCTGAGGTGGTCCTTCAACCTAGGGATCTCATTATATACACGACCCCTCCTGCCCTGGGGCCTCTCTCTCTCTCTCTCTCTCTCTCTCTCCCTGAGAATGTGTGTATGTGCGATGAGAGAGAGAGAGAGAGAGAGAGAGAGAGAGAGAGAGAGATTATGCTGTATATAAAATTTTAAATGTGGGATTTTACATAATCCCTAAAATGTTAAGTGATTTCTAGTAATAGCTATGGCCGTGAGCTAACCTAGCCACTACAATATATTACTGAACATTTTTTAGCGATTGCGTGAAATCCCTAATTTACCATTTACAGGATTACATGAAATCCCCAATTTACCATTTTCAGGATTACGTGAAATCTCTAGTTACACACATTCTCTGAAACACATTACACAGTATACCTGTAAGGTGTAGAATGCAGCCCACTTTCCCTTGTAAGTACATAAAGTCAGGGCCCACTTTCCTTTCTGAATATATTATGGTTAAAATGCTCCGCTATATTTTTACAACCTATTGACTCTTAAAGATACGATAGTGTAAGAGAGACGGGAGGAGGGAAGGAGCGTTAGTGAGAGAGAAGGTGATTGGAAAGTGAGTGAGAAAAGAGGGAAGGAGAGTGAGTAGAAGAGAGGAGGAAAGGAGAGGGAGAGAAGGAATTACACGCGCACACACACGCACACGCACACACACACACACCCACGCCAGGTTACAGAAACGTGTAGCAGATAATGTTAAGCCACATCATAGATCACACCAGCTGTTACATGTGTGTACGAGCGCTTCATTTCCTTGTTTTAGTTATTTACACCGTGTTTGTTCTCACAATCAACCAGCGTCTGTTATATCACCTTCCACATCTGTTCCTCCACTCACACCCACGTAAAGGCACATGTGATTTGAGGACATCGCAAGACACAATCTCAAGGCTTCAAGGTGCCTCGATACTGTTTTAGAGCCCGTTTGTGTGTGTGTGTGTGTGTGTGTGTGTGTGTGTGTGTGTGTGTGTGTACAGTATATGTCGGTGTGTCTATTATACACACAGACAAACTAGTAACACTTACTGTACGCATATGAGTTCCCACGACACCTTTGAAAACCTGAACTGACCCGTGAAGTCAGTATGACGGGAGATGATTAAATCTGAATGTGTATGTTAGGTGAGTGAGCCCAAGGTGTAGGGGTGTGGGAGTGTGGAGTGATGGGGGTGGAGGTAGGGTGTGGAGATGGGGTTGGAGGTAGGGTGTGATGATGGGGGTGGAGGTGTGGTGATGGGGATGGAAGTGGGGTGTGGTGATGGGGGTGGAAGTGGGGTGTGGTGATGGGGGTGGAAGTGGGGTGTGGTGATGGGGGTGGAAGTGGGGTGTGGTGATGAGACGGAGGTGTGGTGATGGGGTATTTTTTTCAGGAGCTCAATTCTGCTAAAACACAATACATCCCGTGATTGTGTTACGTCACGGCACTGGGAATATAACTCACACCTCTGCCTTACACAGTGTCTATGGGAAGGGAATATTGCAGTGACACACCTCAAGGTTAGGCAGCCCAAATCATTACCTCCACTGAATTATAATGGACTTTATTGTTACTTGTTCGTGATCACCTGAAGATTAGGCATCCCAGTTTATTTCACCTGATAATGATTGAACACCCTAACGCTAACTTAATATAACTCCAGCTTATTTCACTTGATGATCGAACAACCTAATGCGAACTTAACTTAACCCCAGTTTATTTTACCTAATAATTAACTAAATATATGAAAGACGTCCTTCCGCCCTTCGGTAACTAGTTGTCTACTGTGAGAACACCTACTTTAACTCTAGGATCTGTGGCACACCTGTATGGGCCACGGCAGGTGTCACAACATATGACTTTATCCCTGGAGTGAGATAAGTTAAATTCTTGATTACAGTGACTTAGCTCCTTGAGTACGGTAACTTAATTCCTTGAGCACAATAATTTAACCACTTGAATAAGATAACTTACCGATAAGTCCAACATCTTGATCCTTTGAGTAATTTATAGATCCCTTACCTTACTGTGTGTGTTTGTCAGTCAGCGTCACCAACGGACACACTCTCTTGATATCTTAATGTGTATATGTCACACCCTCATCTCTCTCACCCATTCTCTTCTCTATCTGTAGGTGTATCAGGTAGCTCTATGAAAGCATTTCTTAAGTGGCTCACTCCTCACTAATGCTGTTTATGTCAAATTCTCGGGAATCATTTTCTTTAGTCAACCGGAAGTAAATGACAAATTTTCGAAAGTTTTCTTATTTTTTTATATCTTGATGCTATTAAAATTCATCTCCGTAATTTGTTTAGTATTTGAATGAAGAGATTTTTTCTTATATAATCAATAATTATTTTTGTCTGTTCTAATTCAAATATTATCAAGTTCAAGGTTTCTTCGGGGCCGATATTATCAAGTTCAGTGGCCTTAGCGCCAATATTAGTGAATTCAATGTGTCCTTAGCGCCAATATTATTGAGTTCAATGTGTCCTTAGCGCCAATGTTATTAAGTTCACTGTGTTCTTAGCGCCAATGTCATTAAGTTCACTGTGTTCTTAGCGCCAATGTCATTAAGTTCATTGTGTTCTTAGCGCCAATATTATTGAGTTCACGGTGTCCTTAGCGCCAACATTATTAAGTTCATTACAGCTTTTGAATGAATATAAATAATTTCTAAGTTCACTCAGGCATTTGGCGCCAAGTTCTTTACATTAATTAAACTGACTACATCTTTAGCTCTAATACATACCCACCAAGTTCACTACATCTTTAACATTAATAAATATCACCAAATTCACTGTTCTACCATTAAAGTACTTCCACGCAAGCAACCAATTTCACTGCACGTTTTCCCACTACTATTTCCAGCTTTCACGTGGCGGCCGTCGTTGAAATATTGCTGCTCCCTGTAGGTGTTTGTGTGCGTGTGTAATAACTACGACAGGTGGAGCGTGTGCACCTTACCTCACCGCCGTCCGGAGACAAACTAAAGTGCCGAGGCTCAGTGTTACCAAATGTGGGTGATGAAAATTAGCTACATTGGCCTGTAAGATCCGCTATACACACTATTTACTCACGTAGCCTACACAATTATGCAAATGTTGTTAATAAGTAAACACGTAAATGTTGTTAATAAGTAAATACGCAAATGTTGTTAAGGCCTTGGACCAGCTTCTGATGCTTTTGATGTCAATGAACTGCATGCTGACATTGTGCCCATTTGCTTTAACACTTGTTTTGGCAGTTCATATGAAAAGCAACTTTTTCCAACTCTCCTGAGTCCACTTTTCACGGCAATAATCGAACTGACTGAACTTGTAGTCAATGAACCGATTTCTGATCTTTGATTTCACAATAATTAGCTGGCTAAATAGTCTCGACCTCAGGATTGGAGTGAGGGAGGGCACCGAGCGCTAATTCACAGAGGTCACTCACCCAAAAAGTTCAACTATCTCTACTGTTGGTTCCTTCACAACTCTGAGAGATTCCAATACTGAAAACAGAAATATTTTCCTCAAAAGTTGAAATTATCAGGAAGTCTGTTTTTTAACTCATTATAGACTTTGGTAACAAGATATGCAGCGTTGGCGATGATTACGCACTGTCTCTTCTGTTAGCTATGAGTCGGTGCAAGTTTTTTCAAATTCGTATCCTAGATATGCCCTGGGGTCAATGTGAGTAAAAAAAAAGCAATATGCCTTAGCCTTATCTTTTCTACGGGCTTAAGCCAGTTTTTTAACTCTGGAAATGCCTCCCAACTCTTTCTGTGTGTTGAGTGCAAGTTGGCCCCATTTTGATTCATTAAATTTCAGTGCTTCCACATAAAGTGATGTCCAGGTGCCACTGCCTGGCGGCCTGTCCCTCGGGATTGATTGATGACACAATGTTAACACTGTTTTATCAATGTTTATTTTAAACTTCTGTAATAAATCACATTTCTATGATATTTTCACTGACTCTATTAAAAAAAACCCTGTAAAGTCACTGTTTTGTGTAAATGGTTCAATGCTGATAATTAACGTGTATATGAAATCCGCTCGAACTTCCGCCAAATCCAGTGAAGTAGCGCGAGAAAATCCGCCCTCTGCAAAAGGCCTAAAGTCCCAAACCTTCCGCGGTAGTAGGTAGTAAGCAGCTATCAAACAGGAATGTACTACCGCCTTGGAAGATATTGGAAGCATAATGTGCTGTCTAATGGTAGACCCTGCTGCCATATGGCATCACGAAAATTGTGACTAAGTCCCAGGTTGCTGATCTGACTTTCTGTCTCATTTACACACAATTGCAGGGTCTCAAGTGTTTCTCTTACTTTGACATCACAACATACAATGATAGTTTCTTAATCGATTATTTTTTTATTTCTTTATGGTTCTTTATTAATAATAATATTATTATTTGTATTTGTATTATAATTCTTATTTTTGTGAATTAATAATAATAATAATATTATTATTATTACTTTTTCACCCCCCTGTGCTAATCCCAGTAAAATAAGAACAACGCGCTAGATTTAGCGACTTTTCCGCCAAGTTGGCAACACTGCCGAGACAGCCCGCCAAGACCTCCAAAGACCAAACTCGGGGCCACCAAGTGTGTCGAGGCGTCTGGAAAGTGAACAAAATTATTATCAGGCAAAGAATAAAGGGAGGAAGATCAATAAATCGGCGAAAATCCGTTTTGGTATTGTTGTCTTCATTTTGTTATAGCAGCTGCAGGTATTAAGGGCTCTAGCAACTCTGTAAGAAAGACAAACCTACCTTTCTTGAGAGGTGAGTCGTACACACCTACTTGTGGCAATATTTACTGTTGACTGTTCATTAGTTTTTATAAGCTCCTTTTTTTATTTAATGTATTTAGTACTGATAACGTTCCTCTCTTCAGAATTGCGAGTTAACATCAGAGTATCATTTGAATATACGTAGGCTAAAAGATGAGCTGGATACTGTTGTACTGTCGAAAATGTAAGGCTAGAACTTTGAAGTTTTGGGTCATTAGTTTTAGGACCTCCCACCCACGACTATTTTGTACGAAATTATGTTTTTTCCCAGTATATTTCAATGTGTTATGAATGGATTTCACATTCACATCTTGGGAAAATTTATGAAAACCTTACCCACTCAACCCAAAATGTATGGTAAAAACATGAAAAAAAGAACTAAACAAAACCTGACCTAGCCTAACCAATCTAACTTACCTAACCTATCCTTACTACCAAACCTAACTTTACCTAACCTATCTTTACCTACCTAACCTAACTTTACCTTACTTTTGTCTTGGCAATTTTGTCTGTCTGTCTTAATTTGATTGGGAAAACTGCATGCTATTTTTATGGGTTTAGATAAGTGACATATATATTTGGAGTAATGATTCTGGAGCTAAGTCATTTAGATTATCCAAGTAAACTGAGGGCCTTAGGACTAACAACCCTTCAGACAAGACACAATAGGGCAGATCTCGGAGACATTCAAAATATTGAAAGGGATGGAAAATGTGAATCTGGGCAAATGTTTGTGATGTCATGCACCACCAGCATGAGGGGACATAACAAGAAGCTCACCAAGTTATCACATAGAATGAATATATGGAAATATTTCTTCACACAGAGGGTGATAGAACCATAAAACAGTCTGCCAGCTCAAACTGTGCAATCAAGAACAAAATTGGGCTTCAAAATAGTCCTAAATAAAGTGATCAAGAACAATGGAGGGATACTACACAGGTCAGTGGCCTCCTTCCCTTGGCATTACAACCTCTAGTAGGTGCCCATGTAAATGTCTAGATCTGTTACTGGCATTTTTTTTTGCCTAGACGAAGGACCCAATATTCATGCTGAACTGCTTCAGTCTACCTGCCTTAACATGTGTTCTTCCTTGGTGCTCCCCATCCACAAGGTGCCTCTAATAATATTCAGGTGGGTTAACAGTGTAAAAAACTTGTTGTACTGGTACAACACCTGCTTCTAATTTTCTCCAAACTTGTCAGTAAATAACCTAAGTTCTCCTGTAGCAGCATCTGTATTGATTGATTAATTTATCATGTCTTTTATATTTAGTTTGATTAGTTTTGGTTTGTAAAGTGTCTTAAAACCTGGTTCCAGTAAGACACCTCCATATATAACACTATGTCTATGGGAAAATTGCTTCCACTCCATGAATTTTCACTTTACACAAGACTTCCACAAAACACATCCCTTCATAGAGCAAGGACTACCTGCACTGTACTGTAATGTACCTTGTAACACAGAGGGAACTACTGTAATGTAAATAAGTTTGTTTTCTCTCTTATACATCTATAATATGTGTATCCTTTACTGTATTGTACTGGACTGTACAAGTTTGTGCCTGTGTGTGAATACAGTGTATTTGTGTTTGTCTGTCATACAATAATGTATTTTTGAATTAGTGTTTTTGTTTGAGAATCGGTGTATTCAAGTGCTTGTACAAGCAGGTATGTATTTGTAAGCTGAGAGGAACTGAATAAGAAACATTTAAAGAAATCTGAAGTCTTCCTTTATTTTTATAGTGAACAGCTGAGAAAGTTACAGTCAAAGTATAAATACAGAATACCTCTATAAGTTACAGACAAAGTAACAAAAGCAGATGTACATCCCCTCTCTGTAGCTTTAAGGCAAGTGAGCTCAACACAAACACACCCAGAGAATAATACCAACACCAGCAATGCCGACAACACATCTTCATTTATTCTTTAACGCACAAGCTAAAAGTTCATCATATAAAAGTTACAAAATAAATACAAACAGCGTTGTGAATGTGATCATCGACCAAATGATGATCAATGCAGAAGAATATTAATCAATGTCAGTTGTGAATGTGAGAATCAAGAAAAAAACAGGTCATGATCAACACAGCCAAATGCTTTTCATCATTGTCATGACTGTGAGCATTGAGTAAAATGGATTAACATCAAAACAGACAATTATTACTCATCATCACTGTCTTCTTCACTTCTTCTTACAAAATTTGAAATTCTACTCTTGGCTGGAACAATGCATTCAATTCTCAAAATGAATTCAGCAAAATGGAATACACAATCTAAAATTTTGAAAAGTATGAAAGGATTCTGGTAACCTCTAAACCTATTTTCTTCCATAATACTAGATAAAAAAAAATTTTCATTGTGAGTTCTTTGTTTTTTAAAATGATTATATAATCTTGTTTGAAATGCTAAATAATTCTTTTGGGATCCTTTTATTTTTTTATACAATAACAAAGGAATTTCATCAAATACTTCTGTAATAATCAATTTAGAAGTATCATCAATACTTCCAGAGATATTCTCCAGGACTAAATGCTTGGCTAAGAGCTCTATATAGCCACCATGTGGTACGGAGTACAACACAGGCGATGGACTTTGTGGACGGATAATCATATCTATATTTGTACACATGTTCCTTTCAAGCACATCATTATAATATCCATAAGCACAAGTAAAACTGCTGGGTGACACACACAAGGGAGACTGATGATCACAGTCAGTGTTATTTATATTGACTGAATCTTCACACCTCGTTTCAACTCTTTGTGGAAAATTTAGGCAGTCGACCACCCAAAAGTTAAAGTATTTGAAAAGCTTATCATATGCTGTAGAGAACTGCTTACACTGTGAGGGAGTTGGACCACAAAGCAGAATCTGGTGAACATCAAGACCCTGTAGTCTTACAAAACGTGATGTACCTAAAGTAAGAGGTTCAATTTTCTCAAGTATCTGAGCTGATCCACTGTGTACATCATCTCTATTAACAATTGGTGTAATTTTCAGTTTCTTGATTAAGAAACACCATTCCTCATCTTCTATCATGTCTATTAATGAGAGGCCATACTTATTGCACTGTGACACAGCCCAGTCTGGGAAATAGGTAGAGGAGAAAATAACTTGAACACCAAATGATTTTATAGAAGCCAAACATGAATCAAGTAGTCTTGCTTTTAGAAAAATGCTCTCTAATAGTGTCTGATCATTGCTTGTTTCAATAATGGGTTTACAAACTCCATCCTCATCTTCCTCTTTTAGTTTTATGGACCATAATACAACAGAAACCTTCTCAAATTTCATACCTTGCTGCAAATATTTAAAACTTCTTGTGATTACAAAGCCAGGGATCACATGAGACTTCAGTAATGGCATGTTGTACAATTCAACAATTGCAATATGGGCGTTTTGGGTTAAATCATTTAACAGCCTTACAAGCTCCCCACTACTACTACACTGACAAAACAAATATGATGACAACAATTGGGCAAGATTTCTAGCTATGAGTTTGGAAAACTTTGTTTGAAAAAAATACTCAGAAGCATTGCGCAGTATGTCTCCCAGAGCTTCAAAGTTGTGGAGAGGGTGTTGTTGAGCACCATTGTGTATCACATCTCTCTGGATACTATTAAAAACATACTTTCTTAGTTGTTGAGTGATTTGTACCATTTTTTGCCTCCTCACTGCCTGAGACACACAAGAACTTTGTGAAACACGATTATCAAGAGAATGTAGAAGACGTCTTAACAACAAGAAACTGATTTTGCACCCATCACCATAAGCTCTAGTGTGATCTAAAACTCCTTTTATTACCATATTCAATACAGGGTCACATACATCTAAAGTGGAGAGAAGCTCAGATCCATCTTGAGTTATAATAACACACCCGGCTTTCTCCATTAACAAAGATTTCCCATAAGGCCCCAGACAGCCCTCCAGTATGGACGCGAGGCTGCCGCACTGGATGACCACATTTGATATCCCCAATTCCTTTCTGTAGTACGCCATTATCTGAAAATATATTTTCTTTAAATAATTCCCCCTCTGCAAATTTTCATTTTTCTGCAGCAGATAAAATTATCATACTGTACATCTACTGTATCTTTCATCTTCCCTGTTACCACATGTATTGTAAAGATCAATGAATGGAAGGTTATTGTCAGGAGAGAAGTGCTGTACTGTACATAAAAGTTTAGAGGCAACAAGAAATTGCTTAAATAAATAGAAACATTCCAAACACATACACAGGCTTGCTGATACCCTCAAGTTGCATGTCAATTACAAAAATAAAAAGGGAATCAATATACTGTACTCTATATTGACTATATCACTTCAAGGCTACTCATTATTCATTGTAAATATTTTTTTTTCACTCTTTAATTGTTATATTCTTCAAAAACTACAGTATACAGATACCTGTATATAATTTTTTTCTATTCATTTTGGAGTACTGTACAGTACAGTTCTGTACCATATACTATCTATCTCCCTTCATGGTCTGGATATTTGAGCAAGTTGGGTTTCTTGCCACAAATTTATAATATTGGAAGCATAATGTGTTGTCTAATGGTAGACCCTGCTGCCATATGGCATCACAAAAATTGTGACCAAGTCCCAGGTTGCTCATCTGACTTTCTGCCTTATTTACACAATTGCAGGGTCTCAAGTGTTTCTCTTATTTTAAAAACACAACATACATATTGTTTCTCACTCTTAAGTTTTTTTTTTCTGTATTTATTTGGGGTCAGTGACCTGTGCCCGGGCGGGCTAATACCCGTAAAAAAAAAAAAAAATCAACAGTTATCCTCCGATTTACTGTCTTGCTATAGAGTATTTCACTTGAACAAGATGGTGATGTATCAAGACCAACCCCCTATATATGATAAAAAAAATTCGCATGAACGATGGTCATTGCCCAGCCAACATAAAATATGGAACGCATTTCTCGGTGCACTTGTCAGCTGCTGTCTACCCGTGCACTGCCACCTAGTGCACTACAATCCCAAATCTTGTTTCTTGGTGATCGCACTCGGCATCGGTGTTGCTATTATTATCATTTTTTTATACCTTACAGTAAGAAGACATCACTAACGTTCACATTATACTCTGTTTTGGTGACTGTGAAATTATTATTATTTTTTGGGGTGACTGTAAAGTGCTTTGCTACGATTGTTGTGAACATGATGTGAGCTGTGTTGGCCGCTATCATTGTTTTTACGTTATCATCGTTTGCTCTGTTTTTGTGACAGGCCACCAGCAATGGAAGCAGAGGCAATTAAAACATACAGTTTTTAATTTCCATTAATACATAAGCACAAAAATGTTGCCACACACTAGCCTACAGTACAGTACACTGCTTACTGTACGTGTTCAGCACAGAATACTCTCAGATATCTGTCAGCAACTCAGAATCTTCCAATGCTACAAAAAAAAAAAAAACAAAAAAAAAAACAGGAACTGTAATTTTTTTTCCGCAAAAGCAAGGTTTTTGTTCGTATACCGAAGCGCTGGAACAATATTTAGTTTTCGTATAAACGAATTTTTGTATATTGTAGCACTCCTGTATTGGGAGAAGACTTGTAAGACTAAAAACACAATACAGGTATATAACATAATAACATATTATGCTTCACTGTTGAATATGATACCTTGTGATAATGATGGGAAGACTTGCTGGCCACTCAGGTGTCTTTCCCCCCACCACTCAGGCCACACCCAAACCTCCAGCTCAGCCAGTTGTTCATCTTCACAGTCCATATTTGTACCACATGATGCTGTCAACAAATACCTGAACCTGTACAGTATTTTAATCACTTGTATTTTCATCACATTCATTGGTTTATCTATTAATCACAGAGGTGAGATAAATTATACTGTACGACATTGGATTTGTAATAGAATATGTCTCCTAAAGTTATACAAATGGAAAATGACATAGTAACTAGCAAATTGTTTATTACATTACAAACTTTGCTACTAATTTTGTTTTTAACTTTTAACCCCTTAAATCTTACCCAACAGAGTGATGGCATGTGGCATGATTAAGATATAAGTTATTAAGAAATACAGTGCCAATGCAATGTCATTGGTCTGTGGAGCTCATGTCACAAAATTTTGGCAAATTTGGTCATTCTTTTGACAGAAAAGATGAATATTTAAGGTGTGACGGATTTCATTGATACTGAATTGGTTTGCACGATGGAGATGGTTTTAAGAAACAAATTAGTATTTTCTTACCACAAGCTTTCTAGATGTTAGTTGTTACTATCACTGAGGGTATCACTACAGAATAACCTGTAGCTGAGGGTGCAGGTAGGAGTGTCCCCTTGTCAAAGTGTGCCACCATTTTACTGGACTTCTGATCATAAGGTTAGGTTAGACGACTAGGCAGTAGGACACTCCTACTTGCACACTGCAGCAGTGGTAGACTCTGACTATGATTCATTACTGACACGTACCAAGGTAATACAGTATATCCTGGTTAGTGTTGACATGTGGAGGGATATCACAGCAGATCAAGAAAAGCTAAGGGGAATAAAAATATCACAAGGGTATTATTATACATTAATGGCTGCAATCAAGGATCAGGGGGTAACAATGCAAGGTAGTGAGTCAAAGCTGGCCAAGATGAATCAAGACTTGCAGGAAAAACATTTTTACAATGTTTGAGTGAATTTTGATCCCTTTGTTAACTGTGAAAATTGAAATCTTAAGTTTACAGTAGTAAAGAAAATGTTGACAACAAGGGTGGACAAGTCTAATTGTAATGAACTTCACTGTTGTAGTTTTCAATTAATGATAGATCTTTATAAGAAGTTACAGGAAATTAAAAGTATACAAAAGAAACTAAACATTATTGTAAAATGAGAAAGAAAAAACTCATCACTTATGTAATGTCTAATTAAAATTGAGGATAATACTCTAAAACAGTATTGCATATCACCAGCAACTTTAGGAAATTTTCTATACAGTAGAAGATAAATGCTTTCTTACCTTGTGAAAATCTCATGAAACAACGAGGATAAGCAATTTGTGTAATAGACTATTATTTTTTATTTTTTTCACCTTTACTTATCTACATTGACATTCTACAATGCCATACATTGTTAACACACATAGTACAGCATTTCATTTTATCCAAAGGACCCCTACCCAGCAACCATTCCATATACCGGCACATGAACTTTAGAATATTTTTGTACAGAAGATAATATAAGATTTTCACTTTCTTCATATACAGTATCCAGTAATATTATTACATGGTGATCAAGAAATGACAAATATCTGTACAGTATTTTGATTTTGTTTTTTATTTAGGTGTGTCTAGTTTTAGTAAAGGGGTAAGCTGTAGTACCTGGATAAAACCTGCTAAATAATAATAATAAATATTATTATTATGTTTGGTGGTGTCACACTGGATTACAGTCTGGTTAATATTGATGACTAACCCGCCAACGCATTATTTGTTTTTGTTTATTTTATTGCCATATTTTCATCAGTGAGTTCTGATAATCATTTCTTTTGTAAATGCTTCGTTTGGAAGATAATGAGGCACACAATAATTTGTCTTTTGGCGTTGATATGACAGTAATGCCACATCCCGAATGTAAACAGCCAATCATATTGACGTATTTCAAAAGACTCCACTATTGGCACCCTGATCGATGCATATGCTGTGCATGCTTAAGAGCCGTTCGGTATGGGCAGCTGCTCTCACGTTCACAAAATGCATAAAATTACAGCATATCATAGTAAGTTCTTTCTGTTTAATATGCCGGGGGGCAGAGGCTTATGGCTCGGAAGTTAGGTATCGGTAGGTGTCTTTGGTTAGGTTGGTGAGGTCTTCAACAATGCTTCTGCCACTTGTTTTTCGTATCAACTAAAGTTAGGTTAGGTTTAATTTAGAAATGACCACTTTTTAATACATTTGCACAAACTATGACAATGTCCACTATAAAACAATGAAATTGTGGCATTTTTAAAACCGTCTTCTATGAAAAATTGGCGGCGGGTCAGTCAACAATAATTACCAACAGCCTTCTTACATCTGTTGCGGGCCAGTGTCGTGTTCTCGGAGGTCCCCCATACTCAAGAGGGCCCCAATGCATATAATGCACGTGTGCAATAGTCTAATTATTTTGTCAACACAGTTAGTGCCAGAAAAAAAATGTAATTGAACCAGAATTTGTGGAGAGACTAATATCATCCCGAACACGAAAAAGGAATTTAGGTGAGGTTAGGTCAAGTTGTTTTAGGCTCTGTGCATTCTCACTTCCATTTTCGAGTTCAGGATCATGATATTAGTCTCTCCACAAATTTTGGTTTAATTTCATAATTTTTTTCGGATTAACCGTAGACAAAATAATCTAGACTTTTGCGTATGTGCATAATAAACAAGGGCCCTCATGAGTATGAGGAACCTCTAAGAAAGCAACACCAGTCCAGGATTGAAGCGGCTACATTTGGGTAATTAGTCGGACCGCTTTATAGCAGTATATAATTTATATTTATACCTTAGTTTTATTTTGCTTTGTCTGTTTGTTTTAAAATGGCAAACTTCAGTGTTACTTTAACTCAAAAGAGCAATATCTTCACTATACCTCACTTACCGGAATTCCTATTTGGTAATATAGTACAGAAATAATAATCTTAAAGGGCCATTGAGGAGCCGTATCACTACAGGAATCCGACGCTTTAATATTTGTTTACATAAACGACTTCACCGCAACGTTCGTCGATGTAAACTTCTCAGCTACAAATCCGAATATTGACAAGGCTTTAAACACTACAGTGAAGGTGCGCACTGCAGTGTACAGTGAAATATATCTCGAAATTAACCCCGGAATGCGATGCATCATCATGCCAAACGCAAATTAGGTCTTAATAAACCATTATCTAAGAAGGATTTTAATGTCATATTTTATTACATTCGGTGATCCGTGTACAAATATCCTTGCCAAAGAAAATATTAAGTACGATTCCAACAAAAGTTTAGTGTGTCGGAATAAAAAAAAAAGAGACAATATACCATCAGATATCTGATGACAATAACATAGATATTCTCAGACACTTTATATTTCTGTGGAGAAACGCTACCACAGTATGTATTGTATTAAACCGCTTGGCAACTGCAGTTTATGGCAGTAGGGAATCCATCATAAGATCAGTGTACATACAGCTGTACTTAAATGTTTTACAACATTTGTGTGATTTTATGACATAGGTTAAAAATTAATCAACTTATATCTATTACAAGTATTGAAATGATGAAACCAGGATCAACTTAAAATCAGAACCTCCTTGTGCTAGTGTTAACAATCACTAATATGAACTAGGATCTCCTTATCAATTTTACAACCTCCAAATAAAGAAAACAAAACAGATAGATAGATGTTAAACTTAAAATAAATTCTGTAGGTTAATTAGCCCTGGCCTCCAACCTAATATTTTACGTTTGGAAGCATAAGAAATATATTATTTCTCCTTACAAATGCTGTATAGCATTTTCATGAGAAACAATAGACCCAGGACACAGACTAGGAGCCTAACCAAATCTACGGTAGCTACCCTAACTTAACCTACCCAATCCCTTAACATGCTGTCATCACAGTTGCATTATAAAAAATAAATTCGGGTTTTGTTCCTAACCCTAAGATTAGTTTGGCCCCATATTTCATGTTGTGTTTCATTTTGGTGAAATTTCAAAAGCTGAATTAGATTGGTACATCTTTAGCGGCTAAAATCAGTATTTGTGGGTTTAGGGTCTCGCCTCTTCTTGCGTCTTGTCCACTTGGCTCGACGGCGGCGGCACCTCGGATAATCCGTAATGGCTGGCAGGACAGTATTCCGTGTAAACTTTTTTCGCCCTTTACGACAACGGTGAGGTTTTCTTACAGTCTTACCTTTAATGGCATTTTCTTTTGTAGCTTTGAATAACTCCTGCTTTGTTGAACAATAAAGACCAATTTTTCTGATGTCCGGGCCTTTAAATGGTAATCGCCTTGGTCGTTTTGGAATATAAAGATTTCCGCGGTGGAATTCCATTCCCAAGAAAAAATTGCTTTCTCGAAGAAGGCGATAGATGTCGTGGCCGCCATCATGCGCTTCTGAGGGGTGGGGCATCTTCTTTTTACACTTGTACCAGTGTTTACCAACAGTTTCAAATGTAGGTGACAGGTAGCCGCACCAGGAGCAAGTACGTCGTGCCTCTGAAAGTAAAACCGGAAAGAGGTCATAATGAGTCAAGGATTCAAAGTTGGTACGATGCTACTCTTGTAGCCTGTGTGTGTGGCATTTATGGTGGGACTCATTGTACATATTTAAAGGTCACTTCAGACGTTCAAAGTTAGTTCAATAATTCTAGACAGACTAAAATGTCTTTATTACACACACACATACTCCAGAAATCATTGCCAAAAAAATTCTAGATACACGCATGCCCTGTACTTGCCAACAGTGCGTTAGAAATAAACATGTATCATACTGCACAAAATTAACATAGGAACTAAGGCTATATACTCTACTTGATAGGAACCTTGAGTCTTACCATCCTTCTCACGAGGGGTTCGGGTATCCAATTTAATCCACTTCGTTATATCCATTTAAAGTAATAATTAACATTAACCAGCAGCGAGTTTGAGCGTTGTGATGGACGGCGTGTAACCCAATTCTTTGTTACTGTATTAAATATTGTTACTAGTTATTTTCCTCTGAATTAAATTTTGAGTTGCATGGCATTGATTAATAATGATATTGCCTGATTCTTACAATGATAATGGTTTTATTTAGTACATTTGTTTTTATAAGTGTTGCATTCACAACCCATTTAACTTTAAGTTGCTGCAGTCTCTGATCTGAAGACAAACAAACTACAAGTTGTCATGGGCGCTGGGGGTGCAAGAAACCAACACAAGACCTGACATATCAGTTTATTTAAAACAGGTACAGTATATGCATCCATGATATAATGGTGTATGTAAGATCGGTAAATTTTTATTTTAGGACATGAGTCCGTAGGGGTTGACCAAAACGTTTTTCCACTGTATTTTGGTGTTTTAAGCGAATCTGACCTTATATTTGTGTCGGAAATTTATAGTTTTTGCCCCCCAACCCCCCCCCTTCCACACCACTGCTCCCCCCAACAATAATGAGGGAGAGCCTGGTAAATCGTTTTTTTTTTTGGGTGGGGGAGAAAACGAAAACGGGTCATCTAACCTAACCTAACCCCTAGCAAGGGGCTCTGTCCCCGGACCCTCGGTAAGCCTAGCTTAAACTAACCTAACCTAACCTAAATGTTTCGGTACTTTAAAACTTTGGGGCGAGCCTTGTCCAAAAGTACAATACCTTAGTTAGAAGTGAAGTAGTGGATATCTCATCGACCTCCTCCTCGTTGGACCCTTTTTCGAGAGACACAGGTGCAGCACTCCTCCTTGAACGATTACAGAACCACTGGTTCTTGTCCTTTATATATTTACAAATCAATTTACAGTGCAGGCACTCAACAGACGTAGGGAGAACACTGTGATTACGTAAGAATTGGATCGAATGATCGTCTTTCTCGTAAAACTCATCAATAAACCTAAAATAATCGTCGGAGCACAATTGACACCCAACCTCAACCACTGCCATTGTCAACGGTTAATGGAATTCAAATCTGTGCCCAGGCTGCTTCCTTTGAAAAAAAATCAAATGCGATTGGTTGAAAAAAAAAATCGCGGGGTGATATCGATACATCATGGTCAAGACTGGATTATGTCAGACAATATTGCACCGATAACATTGCCTCGCGGACAAAGACCGAAAAGTACGTAAAATCAATTAAATTCAATTGTGTCACTATTTTCCATTTCCGAATTGTATAAATGGGGTTCAAAATGGTTAGAATAGGGAGATCTAAATGTTTCAGTAGTTTATAACTTTGGGGTGCACTATATCCTAAAGTAAAATAATACCTTAACATCAGTGTTATCATCAAATTATTAATCAATAGTTATCATATGGATAACTGTAAGCATTAAAACTAACGAAAATAACTACTTTGATATCATTGTCCTGCAAATCTAGGGATTGCCAATGTTACCTGTCTGTTAGGTTGGTGACTTGCTTAGAACATTAGCAGCGTAATTTTAATGTTGAGCATGCACAATCCAGACAAGCATTCAGTTAACATTTTAGGTTAATATTGACAAGATACCCATTGCAGCCTAATTTGTTTTGATAGATCTTTTCTTATTATATTTGCATTGCTGAGTTCAGATATGATATTAATTTATTGGAAAATGCTTCGTTTGGTAGATATTTATGCCCCTAGGCCCGCACTAGCAGCACTACATCATCTTGCACGGCATTTTTGTTTACAAGTTGTGCGGTTTGAGCAGCTTCTCACATCCACAAAAACGTAAAATTTCAACATATATTTTCTTTCGATTTAATATGCCAGTCTGGTGGCCCTCCTTTGGACGTTTTCAATCAACTGACAGTCCCTAGCATATCTCGGGGACCAGACTGGGAAACACCTCACTCTTGAAGATCGTTACTAGGGACGGACTGTCTAGATATCTGAACGACCTTCTTACAAGACCTTATAATTTAGTTGCCTGATTCACCTTCTTCTTGCACTGGCTTGAGAGCTTCAGCTCGTTGTCAATACAGTATACACACCTAGGTCCTTTTCACATTGTCTTAATTAATGCAGTTTCTTCATCCCGTTGGGACACATGATATGCCTCCTTAACATTGGTTCGCCCCAGGTGCAGCCTCTTACACTTCGTGACATTGAATCTCAGCAGCCATTTCTTCGACCATTCTTGGAGCCCACAGAGGTCCTTCTGCAGCTCTTCACAGTCCCCTTGGTTCTTGATTTCCCGAAATAACTTCGCATCATCGGCAAACATTTGTATGGAGGAGTGTACAACGTCAGGCATGTCATTTATGAAACAAACAAACAACAGCGGGCTCAATACACTGCCCTGTACCCCACTTGTGACAGGTATGGATGATGATTTCGTGCCATTAATCACCACACACTGCTTGCAGTCATGTAGAAAGTCTTCTATCCCCACAAGAACATTTCCCCGAATTCCGTACCCTTCCAGTTTGATTTTCAGCCTTTCGTAGGTTACACTGTCGAAAGCCTTGGCAAAATCTAGGTAAATATTGTCGATATTACCACCACGTTCCAGAATATGGCTCCAAAAATCCAATACCGTGAGCAATTGTGTTAAGCCGGAGCGCCCTGGCATAAAACCGTGTTGGCAATCCTTTACAAGGTTGTTTTGTAGTACAGAGTAGATGTTCCATCGCGGCATCTTTGATAATACTCTCAAGTATTTTACATATTATGCTGGTCAGGCTCACCAGTCTATAGTTGTTCAGGGAGTGACAATCGCCCTTCTTGAAGATAGGACTCACATAAGCCACTTTCCATTCACTGGGGACCTTTTGTTCATCCAGGCATTTACAAAACAGGATCTTCAGGGGCTCGGCAAGCTCATTGCTCAACTCTTTTAGTACTCTAGGATGCACCATGCCAGGGCCGGGACTCTTATGGACCTTTAGCTTTGACATTTTATTTCTAATACCCTCTTCTGTGAACACAATGTGGGTCAGTGCTGTGTCGAACCGTCTGTCCTCAAACGCAGGAAGGTTAATCGCATCCTCTCTCGTGAACACCGAGGAAAAGAAGCTGTTCAATGCCTCAGCTTTATCCTAGTCAGAATCTACATAACTACCATCTTCAAGCCTCAGGCGCTTTAGAGACACAGGAGGTGTATAATTAGTGAGTCAGCGGTGTATTGTTGAATTATTATTATCTAACCTCGGTTGGTCCGGCAAAATGGATAATCCGGCAAGGCTTTGGAACCAAGGGTGCCAGAAAATCGGTGGTGGACCTGTAGTGATACGATACTAAAAGTAAAAGTGGGTCCCTTTGGCATGACTGCCTGTTATGGGACAATGTGGATACAGCACACTGTATATTAAGCCTTCGGTACACAAGGAGGCAACATAACTAATAGTGTACTGCTCTTGACCACATTCACTTCCCCAAGTTGTAAACTTAGGTACCCATTTACAGTTGGGTGAACTGGGAGTACCCGGGGATCAAACCACCGACCCTTGGAATAGGAAGAGAGTGCCGTATCCACTCAACTGCCGCACTCCTTATACTATATTAATTATGCTCTAACTTCACATAATAATACCTTGTCATCTATGTACATGACTCATAGACTAAATATAGTAGTATTGTACAATAGTCAACAAAATATTGGTAAAAAGAAAACTTTATCATAGTCCATACATTGTATAAATTTCAAACCAGAAATGAAAGTGAGTCCCATATGACTGATGGGCCATTGAGGACAGTGTCAATAGAGTGCAGGTACAGTACTGTACTGTATACAGGGTACTTTGTCTTTGATACACATTGAGGCAGCATGGCTGGCACTGCAACTGACTATCTGCATTTCTTTAAATGTAAAGTTAGGTACCCATTAATAGATGGGTAGACTGGGGGTGCACAGTTTCCAGAGGTTTATTGCTGTGGAAATGCATGAGAACGTTGTTCCCATACCTTTTCAAATATATCCGAACTTACAAATTTCTAACTAAATTAAATTTTAATTGCCTCCCCTAGAAGAAATATGAGAAAGAATTATTAACTTTCTTTTCTTTTAGCTTCAACTGAGGTATGATTATGCACTTACAGGTATAGTACAGTTTATGATTTGTTGCCCACAAAAATGCCAGTTTATAAAAGAGTTGAAACAGGCTGGGAACAAACCTCTGATCTAAACATTCACCATCTAATTACAATACAAACCCACTTGTGTTGCCTACTCCATCCATGTGCAGATGTGTGTAGTGTAAGAGGTGTTAGCCTATTGAACAGCCTACATCTGGTGAAACAGTCACCACGGTGTACCAGTTGTTAATTTTTTTTTTTAGTTAATCATTCCAGTTGTTAGCTATTTTTATTGATCATACTGGATGTTATATATTTAATGTAATGACACTGAAAATACTGCATCTTCAGCCTTGGAATATATCCTAATAACAAGTGCATGTGGCCTCAAAATATCCCTGAATTGGTCAGATTTCCCAAAAATTTCTAGGGGCTTACAGAGCCCCCAAGACCTCCAGCTGTATGGGCTCGTTGTGCTCACCCTTGACCCACCCACTACTGAATAACATTTTCAAAATGTGTTCCCTCACTTCTTTATTTAGCTCTACACTGCCAGTTTCTCTTTGAACAGAGGCAAGAATTGTATCTACTTTTCCTTCATAACACCTATCAGAAAAAGTTACAGTACTTGTACTGTACTATAAATTTCATATAACAAATGGGAGGTTACTGAAAGAATGTAGATCAACTGCATTTAATAAAAAATTACATAAATTAATTATGTATATACAATTATACATACAGAGAAAATAAACTTGTACTTGGCTGTTTAAAATCAAAATACGTACATAGATGATTTACAATTCAGTAATCTCATATCACACTGTCGAGTACTGTAGAGTATTACTGTACAAGATTTATAAACCCAGCAAAACAAAGCTACAGTACAGTACAGTACAGTACACTAAACACAATATCAGCAGATATACTGTAGTGTTGACTCAGCTATCCATGTTGTAAAAATTCATGTTGGTCCAGTTACTGTTTTCATTTCCTTTTCAAATCCTTATACAGTATATTAAATATTTAAATGGGTTCTAAAGTATTGTATATATTATGCAATGCAAACTTGTATTGGTTGGGAAATTCTAGTGTGTTATTAATTGTCTCTTCAAATAATTTTATACTACAAATTCATTTTACTTAATTAACCAATATTCTTTCAGGATCCTCATATGCTGTGGCACACAACACCTGGTAAGTTAACATCATTAGTTTGAGTATTTTTCATATTTGTATTATGTGAGTACAGTACTGTACTATATTACATGTCAATTACCAGGTAACTTTTAGTCCTAGAGGATATGATAGATTGTGCTTAAACACCTCTGGTTTACTGTATATGTGAGCACTGTTGTGTTTTTCACCACCACAATATTACAGCTGTCACTATCAGCCAGTTTACACTTTGTCTTATCATTCAGCTCTAGGATTGACAGTTAAAAAAACCTGAGTGACTGGCTGCCAGAAATTTTTACTTTTACTTTTATCCTCTTTTGCCACTGATCGGCTCGTTAGCTACTTGGGCGGTTGGTCACGTCGCTTGTTACATACTGTGGGCATGTACTGGCTGCAGAATGTATCTGTACTTGCATCAGTATTGGTCAAGTCTGGTCTTGAAGAGCCCACACTCAGTGCCGTCACAACACTATCTGGCAGGTTGTTCCTAGAGTTCACAGCTCTCATTCCGAAACAAATTGCCCTCACAGTTTTCTGGACTTGTGGCTTCTTCAACCTTGAGCTGTGATCCAGTGTTGGGCGGGCGTCCGAGTAGTGTCCTCTGAGATGTTTATAAATTTCAATTAGGTCTCCCCTTGCCCATCTATAGTATAAGCTAGGCAGTTTCCGGCATTCTAATCTCTCTGGATAACTGTGGTGTAGTAGTGCAGGCACCAGTCTGGTGGCCCTCCTTTAGACATTTTCAATCAACTAACTAGTCTCTAACATATCTTGGGGACCAGATGGGGTGACAGTGCTCCAGATGGGTAAACGCATCACTTTTGAAGACTGTTACGAGGGACTGACTGTCTCGATATCTGAATGACCTTCTTTAAGACTTACTAGCTTTGTTACTTGATTCACCTTCTTTTCACAATGACCCGAGAACCCCAGTTCGTTGTCAACATACCTGTACACACCCAGGTCCTTTTTGTATTTGGTCTGTTAATGCTGTTTCTTCATCCCGTTGGGACATGTGATATGCCTCCTTACTGTTGGTACGACCTAGGTGCATCCTCTTATACTGCATGACATTAAATCTTAACAGCCATTTCTTCGACCACGCTTGAAGCTGACAGAGATCTTTCTGTAGCTCTTCCCAGTCCTGAATAACTTTACACCATCTACAAACATTTGTCAGGAGGAGTGTATAGCTTCTGTCATATCATTTATGAAACAGCAATGGTCCCAGTACACTGCCCTGTGGTAACTTGCTTGTCACAGGTACATATGATGATTTTGTGCCAATAATCTTTGCACACACTGCTTGCAATCATGAAGAAAGTCTCTGATCCATGCTAGGACACTTCCCTGAATCCCTTACCCTTCCAGTTTAAATCTCAGCCTTTCATGGGATACACTATACAGGTACTGCCCATTCTGGGGTCACTAATCAAAATCCAGATATATATTATCAATATTGCGACCCTGTTCCAAAATTTTAGTCCTCTTCGCCACTGATCGGTTCATTGGCTGCTTGGGTGGTCAGTCATGTCTGTTACGACTGCGTTATTTTTTCTTCGTATAAAAAACATTTTTAGAATTAACTCCTCACAGACAAGTCAAAGATGTAGTCACTCAAAACACTATTTTTACTTTTTGGGGGGTCGATGAATTTCAGAATGAACAGTGACTCCTGTTGTCATGGTAGAGCTGTCAGAAATCTTTGTCTGTGGTGTCAGATTTTCTCAACACAATTTTTTAAAAATGTTTTTTTGAGTGACTGTACAACAGGGTAAAGAGCAAGTCCAAATGTTTTCAGTGATGAGTCTGGGAAATAGTTACAGCTTTTAGCGACAGATCCTAACAACTGGTGAAACATGCCATCCACTATAAGCACTGGAATGTCTAAGATAAATTGTTTGTATAACTACAATACATAACCGAAAGCAACATGCCACTTTCTCCTGCTGTTCTTTACCACAATTTGATGATGACGAATTTCCCTCTTGTGATGGAACCTACTTTTCTCCCAGTCAACTTCTCTGGCTAAACTTTGCAGTCATGATCCTGACCTGAGTTTAATGGTTTAGATTCCTCTGGTTTAGACTCGTCTGTATTAGCTGGCATCTTGTCCATCTCCACATCATCATCCTTCAGCCCATACAGGTCCAGCTGATGACTGTAGCGGAACACCACGATGTCTCCCAACACAGAGATCAGTATTAGCACTAAAGAACACAGAGAATAAATGCCTTTATTGATTTCTGATACCATATGTTATAAGTAACAGCAACATAAAGAGAAAGTCAATTATTTGTTATATCAATTGTCTTTGGTATAAAGGTAAAAAAAAAAATATTTAGAGTTTTCAATGATTCACTTCCTGCCAAAGGTTTTGCTAAAAGAAAAACTTTTCTTAAATCTACTGTAAATAACAGGAACCAGGCACTGCAATTTATGAATGATTAAATTATTAACACAACCAGAAGGCATACCACTGGTCCAGTACTGTTTGAATAAGCTAGAAAAAAATAAAACAAAAGAAATGTGTTTGTACATTCCAATTACAAATTTTTGTGAACTTTTACTTTTTTGCAAACTTCAATTTTAGTCACATGAAGTTAGGTTTTTTAATGTTCAGCAATTTTATTTGGACAAAATATGAAACTACAATATGTATATTCTTCCTTATGTTTTTGTAAATATTGTACTTCAGTACAATGCAGTAATGTAGTTTTGTCAATAAATTAACTCACTAACTACCTGTATACTGTATTTGCTGAAGGATGTTTGACTTGTTTTAAATTGTGTCATAAAATTTGTATGTGTATAAATATGTATTAATGTTAATTGTATAGAGTAGATAGAGTTATAACATTAACAGGGAGTCAAAAGTAATATGTGATACAGTACAGTACTGTCAACAAATGCACTTTCTCACACTCCAGTGGGGCCTTGCTTGTACAGTACAGTTGTACTGCCTCTCCTATGTGCTTGGTTTCTCTCTCTCTCTCTTTTTCCCCCCACTGATCAGCTTACTAGTTGTTGGTTTATCCAGTGTTAGTACAGGAGGAAACCTGTGATGTTTGGTAGCGAGGGTCACACTGGATAACACCCTTCTCACACGTGTATGGGCCGAACAGGACTTGTTAGCCATCAGTGAAACACACCACTTAGGAATTGGGAAACTATAACCATCTGTTAAAGCCTTACACCAATCTGACAACCATCACAGCACACAACCTTGTAGCTCCCTTAATAACATTACTTTATCAAGTCTGGAATTGAGGAATGGAGAACAGTATGGTGAGAGACAAGGTGAGTCTTACCTGAAGGGACAAGATGAAGTATTTTCCTGAACTTGTCAGAGTCGTAGAGCCAGCAGTTACCTGAATGACCACATGTCTTATCCCACACTATACAGGCTGAGTCTGATGGTCAAAAAAATACATTACAACAAATTTCCTGAATAATAATAATCATAAACTCTGAGTATTGTCCAAATTTATTTTTTGTTAATCAATGGCACATTTCACCTAGGATGAATATCTGACTTTGATTTCCTAACACTAATTTCAAGTACAGGGGGCCCCCAAATTCGTGGGGGTTAGGTTCTCAAAATGGCCGCAAATCGCCAAATCTGCGAATAACATTTGTGGAATGGGGGGGGGGGGTTACATTTTTACTTGTGTACAAAGAAATGTATATTCCCTTTATGTGTTTGCCCCTTGGACAATTATTTCTTTTACCTGTAGTATTGTATATATGTGTGTGGGTGTGTGTGTGTGTAGACACACACACACACTCACGCAAAACACATACAAACAAATAATAATTGGAAAATCCTCTCACAAATAATCAAACAAATTTATTAAAAATGTGACTGTCTACCCTCAAGTCCATGCTCTGTTTATAAAGTACTGTAATAGAGAATGGACTTGAGGGTAGACTGTCACATCTTTAATAAATTTGTTTCTGATTATTTGTGAGAGGATTTTCCAATTATTATTTAATTGTATGTGTTTTGCGTGTGTGTGTGTGTGTGTGTGTGTGTGTGTGTGTGTGTCTACACACACACACATGCAGTACATATTTGCAATACAGGTAAAGGAAATTACTGTCTCTAGAACGAATGGCTCCCTGTCCCAGCCGCAGAAATGCCGGCAACTTTAAAACTATCCACAGACATTCTTGTGTATATCCAGGGTGTCATCCGCGAATAACCGAGAACTGTGAAGTAAAAATCTGTGAACTTGGGGGGGCTGTACATGTACTGAACTGCAAGTACCTAATAAATACACTCTTAACACATGGTTCCATGTCTGTCAATGTTTTCTCCAAATACTGTACAGTACTTGGACAGATGAGTCTGTGATGTACCTACTTGTTTATCTCTCTTCCAGTATGTTATTGACAACAGTATTTGGACACCTTAGAACCTGGAAATGTGCAGACAATAAAAAAAGTCCAGATTATAGAATTGATCCCAGGTACAATGCAAATACAATGTTCAGGCAGATTCTTAATAAATGATCAAGGATAGAGACCCAGAATTGTCATGGGGGTACAAGTTCATATGTAGTGTGTTAGCACCCTCACCCCTCTCATGGAAAACCATAATCCCACCACTGAAAACAGTCCATTTTATCTCATTACTTACCAATAATGGCTCCCATGATGATGGGAGCTGGGATGAAGGCAAACAAGCTGATGAATACTGTTACAGTACCCAGTGAAAGTCCTTTGTCCTCCTGTGACACTGCCCTGGGTACAACAAGATGACATATTTGATTACAGAGCTTCGATTATACAGTGTTATTACTGTTATTGGTATCCCACGGGATAAAGGTTACACTATTCACTAGGAAACAAAGTCGCAGGAAAAATGATATACTTTATTAAAATACCATTAACGAGTAAAGTAATAAAACCAAAACTATTTTAAGGCAGTTGCTATTTGACAATACATGACTTCCACAGATTGGCAATACATCTGTACTGTACTATATACTGTACTGTATCATGGCATTATAGGTACAGGAATATCCAAACAAGTAATGAAACAAAGTTTATCATCATACTGCTCCAACACAGCAATCACTGAAGCCCAGTAAACAAACAACTCTCTGAGGTACACAGTACTACACACTGACCTGAGGAGGACGATACTGTTACCAATACGACTGGTGGAAGTCACTGTCTTGATGATGATCTCCACCAGGAAGTAGTAGAAGAACCCATTACATGGCTCTGGGCAATATCCTCTAGTGGCAGTGCCCCAATCATGCTAGAATTCATTATCCAGAGTAAGTATGTATGTACTGTACAGTGAACTGATATGAAGCATTGTGATTATTACTGACATAGTGTTAACAATTCAGTATGTGTAATACTGTATACAGTAATGTGTGTGTGTGTGTGTAAGTTGAAGATATGAATAAGTACAGTACATAATACAGTACTTAGCGTGGTCACAACTTAACTTACAGTTCTCTCCCATATAATTTCTCCATTTTTCTTTGAGGGTTTTTGTTTCCCTTGATCCACCTTACAAGGTGGAAGGTGATGTTTGTCCATACCAAAATTTTTAAGAGTAACAAGAAGTTCTGGAACCATAATTCTGTATTCAGTAAGCCCTCGATAACTCGGCACATATGGGGCTCTGGCCTTGCCGAGTTATCTCCAATTCCGACTTATCGAGGCATTTCCCCCCTCCTATAAAAATACAATAATAAAAAATTATCGACCCATATACTGATAGTGTACCGTACATGTAATTACTAAATGTAAAAAAAGTAACACTTACCAGCACTGCTGACAAAGAATGAGACATAGTAGGTGACAGACGCAAGGTAGGTGACACAGAGGTATGGTAGGTGACACAGTGGGATGGTAGGTGATGCAGATGGCCAGATATGCCGAGATTTTCCCCGATAATTTTATATATCTCGGCATTTCCAGAGTTATACTCTAATACATTCCGAGACCATATCCATGCCGATTTATCAAATGCCGAGCTATCAAGGGTTTACTGTATGTTATCTCTGCTTCTTGACACAGAGTTTGGTAGACCAATGACGAAGAGGATAAAAGTAAAAAAAAAGTAGAACAGTGTATCAGCTGAAGTTGTGGAACCAAGAACAGTATTGGGCTTTTTAACCTCTTGGGTATGAAAGGTCTCTCAGTAATGAATAAAATAATATGATACAGGGTATTCCCCAAATAAGATATTAAAAGTGGCATCCCATAGTGAAGGGGTTAAAATTGGCCTGGACAAAGTTATCAAGAACAATAGAGGGATCCTACACAGTCCATCTGCCTCCCTCCCTCATCATGGCCACCTCTAGTTGTGGTAATGACTATCAGGGAAAAACACTTATGGAAAACACTGATTTCTAAACTCAGCCTTTATGGCTCTGACATGAAGCTCTCTATCAAATTTCTTTTGATTTGTTGAAACTTTCTAAAGTTACGGGAAAAATGTACAGTGTACTGTACGTACTGTACTGTATATGAGAAATAGATGAACACCAAATGATCATCTTCCATGTGCTGTGGTGGGACATAAAAGTGCCTGAGTTGTATGACAAAAGAACATTAATATAAAGAGGAAGAAGAAATTGCCACCTTAAACCAACCTAAGGAAAGGCACCAACATTAGTAGTAGACAAACCTTTGGTATTGGTGTGGAGAAGTTGCCATAATGGAATGGTGTGGATGAGTTGGCAATACACCGACAGCTGCTGTATTCCTGAAAAGTAGACATTCGTTGATAGTGCTTTGCCTACCAGCAGGTCTATGGTATCAATCTTCCTAGCTGGTTTCTGCTCTTTACCTTCTTCAATACTTCTAAGGCATAGTGGTTATCACAATAGGTTTCCTGTCCACTGGTCCCACATTCCCATTGAGGAAGCAGTGTGTAGTTGATATCCACTGTGAGGCTGTACAGTACTAGTTCTATAAGCCTAATTATATCCCCATCACTTTGTTGTAAAAACCTGTCTGGCTTATAAATATCCAGCCCACAGGTGAAGTTCTATCTATCCTCTATCAGCCTATCTGGAATACATGACACAAAACTCCTGTGACTTATGCACTCACATGACCTGTAAGTGTTCTTTGGGTTTATGCCCACTTTGTCCACTCCCATTTGACCTATTGCCAAATTCTCATCTCACCTACTGTACATTCTTTCTGTCTACTCCCATTATGTCTACTCTGAAAATGTCACATTCCCAGAATTTCTACAATTAGCTAATAATCTCTGAAAGTTACTTTACACATACAGTACTGTACAGTACTGTAATTGTAACTGTGCTTCAATATTGCAGTGCATCACTTGTATAACAGGTATTTAAAATTATCATGCAGCTGTATATAGTTATTGACATTCATGAAGCTAAAATTCATATCAAAATGTTGTTCTTATTACATCATGCAAGATCATTTTTAGAAAAAAATTTGATTGTCATCATGATTGCCGTATATCTTATATATTCATGATACGTATTAAGGAATAACATTGTATTTGTCTGCCTCTAGGCTGTCAGTATAAAGTTGTCAACATCTCAAAGGACCTACTAAGCTGAGAGGCTGTAGATGTAAGGTGACAGTAGTTTTGACCTCACATGACATGTCTTAAGCCACTGAAACCAGATTATAGGGGGAGGGTGGAAGTTAGGATAGGTTATCACAGGTGCTGGTTACTGATCACAATCAAACATGTTAGTTAACTGAATTTCAGATGATTCATATTACATTCCATAGTCCATAAAACATGTACGGGTATATGTATAACTATAATGTGTTTCTTGAATTTTCCACAAGAAATACCATGTTGATGTTTGTAAATTTAAAATTATGAGTGAATGCATATGTGTAACCATAAGATATATATACAGTACTGTACCTACTTATAACTGGAACATTCAAGATTCCATTGTGAGTGATGTTTAAAGCTTCAACTAGATTTACTTTTAGCGAAATTGTCAAATAAGCCGAGTGTTTGGGCGAGCAACAGCTGAGAGAGTCCTTTTTCTGCTCTGTGAGAGAATATGAGATATCTATTCACCACTGAATCTGATGACTGTATTGAAATAATTGTCATTTTTGTATTTGAAATTCTCCTTACTCATGAGGGCAAAATCTGTCAACTGCCAAATTCTCTGAAGTCTAATTGCCCTCCATAAATGTCCCTTGTTTGCTTGAGAGATGAACTGGGATATTACTGTTCTCTGTTTGGGTCAAGATTGTGGCTATGGGCCATCATCTGCTCCCTTTTATTCCCTTCTACTGTATATTAAAAACAAGTACCCTGTAGTAGATAACCATATTTTGCTAAGTACACTTACCGGGTACTCATTAATTTAACTCTGCCATATGTTCACAATTACTCACAATGGGCTTAGCAGTGAGGTCCTCTTGAGAACAGCCGGCATAACAGGGGGAGTAGAAGAGAGTGATCTTGTCCTGGGCACACACAGGGGTAAACTTGTCACTACACCCACAGTCTGCTGAGCAAGGGGGAACCACTGACCTATGGGATACATACCAAATTGATCTCTTCAATAAGATGTTACCTTTTATGTCTTTTTCTGGCAACTATGACAGCTAAGACATACAGATTGGTTATCAGGGAAGTAATGTATCTTAACAACACCTTTTAACCATTATGGCTACATCATGGTTTTTGACAAAACAAAACTGCAAGTCTCTGGCATTATTTACATAGATCGTAGTACAGTAGACCCTTGCCATTCGCAAGTTTGTGATTTGCAATTTCGACAATTAGCAGTAAGCAGATGGTGGCTATGGTGGCTAGCTTTCAATCCTTTTCCCGCAGCACAACGAATCACCCCACGCAGCATCTCGTGTTGTACTCTCAAAACTTGAGTGTTTTTGTGTGAAATGGCCCCTAAAAGACTGCCTAGTGTCAGTGTTAGTGATGGTAGTGGCGTGAAATGTATAAGGCAGAAGTCAGTGATGACTTTGACAAAGAAAGTTTTATTTTTAGATAAGTTAAAAGAGGGGATGAGTGTTGCCGCAGCTTTTCAATTCGTGCCATTTCTTGGAACCTAATCCTTGTGATTGGCAAGGGTCTACTGTATTGTACTACCTACTTGATGATCCACAGCATGTTGACATAGTAATTTGTCAGAGTTAAGTTTGTAGTAAGAAACTAGGAGTGCACACAATAGATTTTATCAGTTCCTATAGTTAGTATCAAGTGGGAGGGGATTTCAGTAGGTCATTTAACATTCTCCTATATCCAGATAAACTAAGGAAAGATCACTATTGTATATCAACTTGTCTGTGATATGTTGATACTCTGAGTTGACTTGTGTGTGTTTACTGAAAGAGCCATTTCTCCTCCTTCAGTCTATCTATAAAGAAATCTATCCCTGTAATTCTAGTGCAATATGTCATTGATGTGTTGTTATTTGGCTTGTGAACTTCCCTTGAGAAAGTGCTCAGGTGTACAATCTTCCCTAAACTTCCTTTGAGAAGTTAGACAAGTGCAAAATCTTCCATGAAGATTTCCCATTAAGATGTGACCAAGAGTAGAATGGAGTTTAAACATATGAACCAGTAAGCACACAGTTCTCTGTGTACCAGTACTCAAGACCTCAATGAAAATTCTATAATGTGCGTTACAATGGATAACATAGAAAAATTATTTAGCAAACTCACCCATCCATTGGACCAATAACCTCAAGTTTTGGGCAGCCAATAAACATGAGAGATACAAAGCCCAGACAGCTGAAGAAAGTGATAAAAATATTGTATCCAGTGACGAGTCTTGGTCCGGGTCTTAACCACCTCATTACAGATCCACTGATGATGGCGCCAACCACTGTCACAAACAAACTGGCCATCCCTGGCAAGTTAATGAAAGAATATTGAGAGTTATGAATCGACTTTGTTCTCATGAAAATTAAAAAGCAGGCTGATTACCCTATTAAAGTACTCAATGATTCCTGACTAAGAATTTAGTGTATCGTATTGTACAGTATTCGTGTTTGTATCTAATCCTCTTTGAAACTGATCAGCTCGTTAGTGATTTGGGCAGTTGGTCACATCTCTGTTACACACTGTTGGCAAATACTGGGCATGCACAGTCTCTAAAATATACCAGATCCTGCACCAGTGCCTTAACCCAAACATATCTGCTTCTAATCTGAACTTAGTTATCCCTAACCTATCCTAACTTACCCTTATCCTCAACTATCCTGACATATCCTTAACCTAAACTATTCCAGTTTTACCTTACTTATATGCCTAATGGCCACCCACTAGAGATAGCTATGCCAAGGGAAAGAGGGCAGTGGTCTGTGTAGGACCCCTCCATTGTTCTTGATAATTTTGTCAGGGGCTATTTTGAAGCCATTTGCTGTTCTTGATTCCACAGCTTGGTGAGATAGTATTCCCTTATACTGTGTTCATTGTGCACGATAACTTGGTGAGCTTGTAGATATTTCCTCTCATGTTTATGGTTCACGTTTTCCATCTTTTCCAGGATTTTAAATGTTTCATTGAGGTCTGTCCTTTTGTGTCCTGTCTGAAGGGTTGTTAGTTCAATGGCCCTGAGCCTACTTGGATAATCGAGGCTACATAGTACAGTACCGGAATCATCTTAGTCGCTGTGTGTTGCACCTTTTCTAGGGATGTTAGATCTTTCTGGAGGTCGGGTTTCCATGCCTGTGTACAGTAATCCAGACTGGGACATACTTGACATTTGTACGGTTGAATGAGCATTTTCCTATCTTTGTATTCAAAGGTATGTTTTATAATTCCCAAATCTGGATTTGCTTTTTTGACAGGTGCCCCCACTTGTTGTGCCACCTTCAGTGAATGCTCTATCACAACGTCAAGCTTTTTTCCTCATCGACAGTATCCAGGAATGTGCTATTAACAGAACAGTTATGATTAGGGTTGTTGTATCCTAACCAAACCAAACCTAAATTACCCTCCTACCTTTAATATTTTATTTGGGTAATGCCAGACGATTTTATTCAGCAGATTAGAGGACCCCATATACAAGTGGTCAACCAGACCAGCAGGCTTAATATTTAAATTCACATCCAGCTTTCAGTCTGATTGTCCCCATAGTGAAGGGATCAACTGCAGACCTAGTAGGAGAAAAACCAAAGAAGTACAGTATTTTATTACATAACATTTCTAACTTTACAAAACAAGAAAGGTGAGACTCACTTCACTCTATAAACCAACACTGCTGCACCAGTTTCTTGATTGTTTTGATGGGACCTTTTCCATCATTTTTGTTTTATGCATGGAAAGAAAAGCCAAAGATGAGGTCAAGAAAAAACCCATTTGAGACTGATAAATCAAGATCACCAAAGTCAACTAAACCTACATTAGGATGGTTAGGTTTGAGCTGGTTATTAAGATGGTCTTCACTGTCACTTAGGTCCTGTAAAGGAATTGTATTTAAGCTCAGAACCAGTTACTGTACCTGTGTAGTAATTAGCCTCGGCAGCACTTTTACGGAACTGGTTTTCTAAATATTTAGGTTTGAAGCTCCAATAACCAGAGACGGCAAGCAGTGATACTGTGGCACTGAACAGGTTACCAGTCCAGATCTTGTTGGTGAAGAGCCGCTTCAAAGCCACCAGCAGGTCTGTAAATGACAAAGTCTAAAAAATTCTTCTTAAAAATTCAAAAAAAATTGTATGAACAACAAACTTATGAAGAAAAAATTATCTATAGAAATAATTTGCTATTACATGTACAGTTTAGTACTTGAAATCACTGGTTTCATTATAAACTGATCACCGGTCAAATATTCTGAGTGAATTGATATTTAGGCCAGTGAAATGGTTCATATAGTTTCTTGAATAATAATATGATTTATTTGTTAATAAAAATGTATTACCTCAAGAACTACATTAATAAGTAAACTTATCTATATATGACCTTTCTATAGTCTTCCTATTTAGCTGGAGTCTGTAAAATGCTACTACAACCACATAGTTGGCATGGGTTTTTCCCAGTGGAGGCTCCTGTTTTTTAAGATTAAGACAAAGGAGCTGGCTTTATGTGAAATACAACAAAACCTTGGATAACTTTTGTTGCCTTTGTGGTACCGTAGTAACGTTCTCTGTTCACACATGGAGGTCCTAGGTTAAATTACTGAACAGTGAGGTATTGTTTGTATATTGAAGTCTGCGATATATATATATATATATATATATATATATATATATATATATATATATATATATATATATATATATATATATATATATATATATATATATATATATATATATATATATATATATATATATATATATATATATATATATATATATATATATATATATATATATATATATATATATATATATATATATATATATATATATATATATATATATATATATATATATATATATATATATATATATACAGTGACCCGTCGTTTAACGAACACCTCGGTTAACGTAATTTCGATTAACGAACTGCCTTCTATAAGGATCTTCAATTCGGTTAACGAAAAAAATTTCGGTGCGAACCGACCTCAACATGTTTTCGCTTGCACTGACCGGGCAACCAGCTTTAGTATCAGTCTGCCAATACATTAATCGATTCTAGGGCTTAAATTCCTTACTATTTTAGTAAATATCAAGAAGTTTATACTATTCAATAATTTTAAAAGTTTAATATTCAATTTTTTAGTCATTTTAACATCGATGAGGAATACAAATATATATATAATATTGGCTCAAACCTTAAATACCCTAGATCTTTCATAGACAAATGCTTAAACATTACTAAAAAAACTTTTTATAGAACTGACCCCAAGCCCACCCATGACCATAAGAATATCTTAATATTACCATTTCACAAAAATTTCTCACACATTCCTGCACAGCTAAAAACCTGGAACGTCAATGTGGCATTTAAAAACTCATGCACTGTTAAACAAATGTTAATCAAGAACTCCCCCAACAACACAATTGGTTGCATTTATAAAGTTCCTTGCAAGGAATGTAATATGTTTTACTTAGGCCAGACAGGTAAAGATCTTGCAACTAGAATTAAACAACACAAATACAGTGTTAGGACAGGCCAGGAATCCAATGCTCTGTTTGTTCATTTGAGGGATTACAAGCATTGCATTGACTGGGATAATGCCTCCTCAATATTACCATGTAATTCAATTGATAGTAGGAACATCATAGAATCTAGTCTTATTAAACATACCGAAGCATTCAACATGAATTTGAGTAACGGCATGTACAAGCTGGACAATTTTGTAATTAAGAAGATTTGTGATCAGGTGAGAAGGCCGGGTCACTTGACCATCTGACCTGACCACCAACCGTTGTGTGCTATTTAAAGATTAGTAGGGTCATTACCTAATACCTGACCATTGTGGACCTGGTCTCACCCTCCTCTGTATATATACACCTTGATTTGTATTACTCTCTCTAGTCTGTACTCACCCCTGAAGATGTGAATTACACGAAAGCGCTTGGGAACTTCGTGTTTTCTTCTTTCCTTGTGGTTATCAGCATATACCTAGATCACGTGCACCTACAGTGATTTACTTGCATATATATATATATATTCTTTTAACATTTGGTGTCAGTTAATTTTGTTTCTTCGTCCTATTGGGACATGTAATGTGCCTCCTTACTGTTGGTATGACCTTGGTGCATCGTCTTGCATTTTGTGATGTTGAATCTTAACACTTACCTGGAGGAGGACAATTGTGAGTACTGTATCTGTGAATTCTGGAGGAAGATCTGAATGAGGTTCTGTGGAATTTTGAAAAAGGATCTACCGACATCCACCACGAAGGAACCCGGAAGTGTATTTGTGGGAAACTTTGTATGATTTGGGAGATCTGTTTGAGGCTTTGTGTAGCTCAGAAGATCTTCTGGGCATGTGAGGCTTTGTGTAAGGTGCTGTAATGGCGACCTGTGATGTAATGGTCAGCATGCTCACCTCGCAAGTGAGTGGACCTGGGTTCGGTCCCTGGGCAGGGTGAAACTATGGGCAAGTTTCTTTACGCCATTTGTTTCTGTCTACTCAGCAGTAATTGGGGACCTGGATGTTAGTCGTTTTCCAGATTGTGTTGCGGGGTAATGGTTAGTCAGTGCAGTTGGTGAGTTGTCTGGTCTTCTCAGACTATTCCTGGACACTGGGTGATGCAACTCGTTAACTTAGGGTGTGGTTGTTGTGTTGGTGACAGCTTCTATTCCTTCAACAAATTCACGCCTAGGTGGCCCTAGGGCCATCCATCCTTGTTACACTAGGGGCAACCATTATTATTTATTAAGATGCTGTAGGACCTACAGTATATGAGAAACTTCATAAGACTCTACAATTTCGAAAAGGAACTGAGAAAAAACTGTGGTGTCTTGGAGATGATCTACTTAAGACACTCACTTTTTAAAGTTGGTTTGGCTTCCTCCTTCTTGGTCTTGGCAAGAGAGACGAAATAATCCACTCCTCGATTGCGACCTTCCTTCTTATCTTTATCAGCTTGTCTCAACATCCTTTTACCTTCCCTCCTCAGAGTTGCTGGCAGCTTGCGAGGAAAGAGGAACAGTGGGAGGCTTGTGATGACTAAAGCAAACCCAATGAATACGAATCCTGGTCAGAAAAAACATCATGAACATTAATCCTGTTGAGAGAGCATAATATGAACATAAATTCTAATTATAGAACATAAAACAAATTCTGGTTAGAGAATAACATTGAACTTTAGGTACACACTAACCCAGGGGTGGGCAAAGTATGGCCCGCGGGCCACATTTGGCCCGCCAAATTATTTTTGTGGCCCGCCACTGCATTTGTATTTACAAATACAAGGCTTTACTTTGTGTTAATATAATACATTTGCATCTACATTAAGTGGGTGGCCCGCGAAGTGTGCCACCATTCATGAAGTGGCCCTCCATCAAAAATAATTGCCCACCCCTGCACTAACCTATAAGTACAATAAAAAAAATTATACAAGAAATGGCTACTTCAGATACTGTACTCTTTATTTTTTACTGTCTGAAGAAAGATTGTTTGACCCCCCTTTAATAAATCTTGTATCCATCCCTTCCATGATAACTAAACTACCAGTAATGTTTTACCCAGCCACCAAGCTCCCAGCCATCGTGGGTCTTCCTTGTCAATATTGGGTTCCTTGGATAGGTCAATCCAGATAGAAAGGCATCTGCCGCCAATGAAGAACCCGAAGACTGGCCCTAAGATCCTTAGAAGCATCGTCATGGCTGTTGGAGAAGAAATAATTAGAAATGTTGTTGTACTGTACTGTATTTGGTAGATCAGGTTGTCAGGTATGATGTGGTTTGGAGGTAGTGTGCTGTCCATTGTGATGCAGTTTCCCCTTGTACAGTATTAACATTGGACTCATGATGGACAAACTCAGTGGGGACAAAGACATCAGCTTCTTTCCCCAAACAACACAATAGCTTACAGAGCTTTGGTGGTTGGGTTATTATGCCATTTATTTTATTAGTGACTAATGTTACACAAACTGACAAAGATGTTATATTTGATTAGAGAGCTTTGAGAAAATGCTGTGGAACCACATAACCACTTGGTTTAATATTTTGCATTGTCAAACAAACACAGAAAGGTCTAAACTGAATCACATAGTTCTTTGTCCAGTACCTGGTTAGTAAAATAATGTTCTTACCAGCAGCCACTTTACCTTACTGGTACAAGTGTTTACCTAGTAAGGACAGAGGAAGTGGTATAACAACATGTGGCTACATTATAAAGCCGACAAGTGGGCCAGAAGATAAAAATAAAGTCTGGCTAGGTAAAGTTACCCTCTACTCATACCTTAAAAAAGATCAAAGGTTTTGGGCAAGAAAATGTTCAACAAGATCTCATTCAACAAATTACCTGCAAACTAGATTACTGTTCCAAATATATTTTAATTACTTTGTTAAGAAGATTTACTTGTATCCAAAGTGTCATCCTTCATGTTTTATGTGGTTTTTGCCATCCTAATTAGACAATTAGGTTGGGTTAAATCATCTATTGAGTATAGGAATAATCTTCTAATTGGGAATTCCTTAGTGGAATGTAATCTGTAAACAATAGTTGAAGGTTTTTGTTAACAGGAATGATCTGACCTTTCTGATAATGAAAAATAAATTAAGAATGAATTATATACTATCTAGACTGCATAGCAAATGTAGAAGTTGCCATGGTGAATATGTGTGTCAAAAATGAGCATTTTGGCTCTTTCTATTCTCATGTTGCTGATATACATACTGTACTGTAAATAGATAAATTTCACTATTGGTGACACTGATTTATATTTACACATCCTCATTAGTGTGAGCAATAAGCACACAAGTGAAAAGGATAATGGAACATATACAGTACATGTACACCCACTAAAAAATTATTCGGCACCCGTGTCATACTGTATCATGCTGTAAGGGTGCCGAATAATTTTTTAGTGGGTGTACTTGTATGTATCGTGCATGTATACATGTGTGTGTGTGTGTGTGTGTGTGTACGTGTACAAAAGTACCTGTATCATGTACACTCACTAAAAAATTATTCGGCACTCTTATGGCGTGATACAATATGACACGGGTGCCGAATAATATTTTAGTGGGTGTACAGTACACACTTCTGTACCTACTTGGCCATACAGTATACTATATACCTGTAGTACTGTACTGTATATGTTCACTTACTGTAATAGATGGGGTAAGTCTTCTTGTTGACGTTGTCATCAAGGTAAGTGACGCCAACGCTGAAGAAGATGCTGATGGCAATGCCCACAAAGAACTGAGCGATGAAGAGCAAGATGATGGGGCCAACGTAGGCACCGCCTTGACCTCCTTGACATGTATCTTCTGGCTTAGAGAGACACAGCTCCTCTTTTGCTGAGAGAAAAATGATGTTCTACAAGACTGGTAATGAAGGTGGACTAATTTCCCATAGCTTAACAACAAAGTCTTAAGACTCTGAACTGTAGTGAAACAAAGTATTGATTGAAATTGCATGAGATCTTTTGAGGATATGGTCACCCACCAAGTTTACTCAAATCCATCATTAACCCTCTGATACTCCTGGCCATGGTCGGAAATCTCCACTCCTCTTTGTCTATCGACACAAATACTGTAGCATCGTTTGCACTCTCATCCCCTCACAGTCTTTTGATGCAACAGTAGCAGGAACGGTTTTTCCATTTTCTTAAACTTTGGGGTAGAGCGATCCAGACGCAAATTGCACCACTAGAGACGCATCTGCCATCCTACGAGGCTAGTGGGAGGAACCTAGCTGGATAGAGCTTATCCACGTTTCAGCTTTTCTGCATATGGGAGGGGTTCTCGGTGTAAGATATGGCTGAGTGGACAGGGTCAGGCCAGCATGGGAGCGCTTAGCAATGCAATTCACATCAAGAGACCACAAGAGGGTTAACTATTAGATATCTTGCTCACAATCAGTCACCCTCTATTTATAGAAACTATACCATTTTCTTACATTTCAAGTTAGTCAGATTTGACAAGAAAGGAACATTTTTATGGATGGTAACAGCTTCAGCTGCGGCGATGGCATCCTTTCCAGTCCCATAGATGAGGTGGGGTAAGCCAGCGGTGAAACAGGAGGCCGCAGTGAACAGGGCACCCACACCAAGCCAACGTGGACGGTGACCGAATGTTCCATAGTAACCGAGAAAAATGGCAAGCAATACTTGTGAGATGTCATTGCCACTGAGCAGTATACCTGGAGGGTACAGAAGTAGCATTACACTATCTAGTACAAAAAAGAAAGCACTGTACGGTACCTACTTACATGACCGTCTATGACAGGAAGTTTGAAAAAAGTGTCTGTATTTATTACAGTGCTTTATATGATGGGATACACAGAGAAATGACTGTTTACAATATCATGTCTCATGTTGTATACATGTGTACATTATTACATCATATGATAACTTGTAAAGGAACCTAGAATTCAAACAATAAAATTCCGGCACCTTCTGAGATGTTATTTTTTGGTATATGGATACAATTTAAATATTTTTTGTTATTTATCTATTATTTATTTATTTATTTTCTTTTATTTTTTAAGAGCCATTGTTTGATGTGTTATTGTGGGCAATAGAGGCAGTACCTCCCCACCACCTACCTAGGGCAGTATAACCCTAATAACTACAGTAATCTCCACCCATACAGCTGTAGTATACTGTCTACCATTATTAGCCATTACAATGTATAGTTCTGTAGTTAATTTGCTGTCGGTTGTTAAGAAAATCGCGCCGTTAAATTTAAATAGTACTGTACTAATATTCACAATAATTTCTTACATTTTGCTGTTTAATATAACATCTTTTTGATGATGATGTAGTTTTGATCTAAAACATTCTGTATATAAAATAGTGAAGAGAAGAGGATGGCTGTGAATCTGGTGATGCAGAAGTACAATTCGCTTAACAAACACTGATCTGTCAAATGATATAATTATAACTTCTCCTAAGGTCACCAAAAATGGGTTGAGCTGGTTAATTAGGTTAACCAATCCCATGTATATAGGGCCATAGGGGGGTAATGTTGACAATTATACATCTGCATAATATAAAAATAAATTCTCAGGAGAGACAGAAGTTTACTGCATGAGTTCTGGACTTGCACACAGAAGACGCACCTGTCTCCTTGCTGGTGAGTTTGAACCTCTTCTCAATGGTGGAGAGGACTGAGACAGAGTAAGTGAAGAACATGCCCTGCGTCAACCCCACCAGGCAGTACACCAGCATGTACATCTCCTTTGTTGCAAACCACTGTCAAGAGAACATACCATAAGGCATCTAATATACTATAGGACTAGGCGTGTGTCTGTCCGTTTGTGTGTGTGTCTGTCTGTTTGTGTGTGTGTCCGTTCTGGGCAGCCGAAACGGCACAATCGTTTTTCATCAAGCTTGGTGGAAAAATCGCAAAAAATTCGTAGAGTGCCACAAACCTGGTCCCATATCGATAGTTTCTTTAGGAAGCCATTACATAAACATTTTATTTACGCTGGAAAACGATGCAAGTCTACGGACTTGGCGCACCCTCATTCGCTGTACGCTGTCAGCCCACGATTGCAGTTATCGTACGGCTCCCTCCTCCTCCCCCCACTTTTTTCTTAGCCTACTTTTTTTAATGTTGTTTGGATTAGTAAAGGAAGGAAGATGAGTAAATAGAAGAATAAAGAAGGGGAAACAGAAAATAGTTCAAGAGATAACAGGTGGGGGGGAGCTGAGTTTCATCATGCGTCTGGATGCACAGTTTCAACGTTACCAGACGACCTTACAGCTACAGTGTATACTTATTCCTGTGGGTGACTGTACATGGAAAAAGAGAAGAGATAAAAAGATAATAACAGGAATGCATGGAGAAGATCACTCCAATAGACACAGGGTGAATATAGACAGTGAAACAGACAGGAGGTTGACAAAATTAGACAGATTCATACAGGCACATGCACAAATAGACAATATGGCAACTAACATGACAGACAGACAGACAGCTGACTGACTGGTTCACATTAGACAAACAGGCAGACACACGCCAACAATGGATAAGACAAGACAGATTTGACGACACAAAGAGTACAGACGGGCTTACATTCAAACACCACGCAGACGAACAGACAGTTGGGATGGCAATAGACAGGACGGATAGACTTGAAGCAGATTAGAAGGCATTTATAAACAAGAATAACACCAAATTGACCATAGCTGTGTCAGTGAGGGTAGGAGGTCTTACATCCACCAGCGTTAATAATAAGACGCATTGAAAACTAACACCCTCGCGCGGAAAGAACATAGATTGTCGGTCAGTCATGTGAAATGGGCCTAAAACTGACTAACGTAGATGATGACTTAACACAGGTGATGACTTAAGCAGATGGTGACTAATCTAACCAGAATCAAGGTCACTTCTCTTCATCGTACAGTATAATTTATCTCGGAATGATCATCAGTGATTCATAATAATTTTTTTTTTATGATTTTAACCTCTCCTTATGGCGAATATTTCTTTAACTAATTATTCTAACCTTTATTCTATTCCTTCTTATAGTATATTAGATACTGTAAGTATCACAACCATGATTATAACAACCACGACCATGATTATAACAACCACGACCATGATTATAACAACCATGACCATGTTTATAACAACCACGACCATGATCATAACCACGACCATGATTATAACAACCACAACCATGATTATAACAACCACGATCATGATTATAACAACCACGACTATGATTATAACAACCAGGACCATGATTATAACAACCACGACCATGATTATAAAAACCTCGGTAAACTGTACCACCGGACTCGCCACCGAGCACGAAGGGCCCACGATCACTTGTCACTACTATAATAGAAGCTTAAGTGTGTGCCCATCACACTATAGTGTATTTTCATCCTGTTGATATCTTTGTCTGTTATGCTTGAACATTAGCACACCAATGACATGCATATCAGATATGCTTCAAAATTCATTAATTAGTGAACAAAGAATTCAAATAGAGATACGAGTATGTTCACCAAGAAAAAGACCTATATATCAATGTCTTGAGTTTTGAACAACAAGCGCCTGAACTTGCCTAGCTTATACTACAGACGGGCAAGGGGCGACCTAATTGAGGTGTATAGACATCTCAAGGGGCACTACTCAGTCGAGTGTCCTTACTTGGAGCTGGCGGACGCTCGCCCCACAAGGGGTCACGGCTCAAGATTGAAGAAGCCGCAGGTCCAGAAAACTGTGAGGGCAAACTTTTTTGGAGTGAGAGTTGTGAACTCTTGGAACAATCTGCCAGAAAGTGTTGTGACGTCACCAAGTGTGAGCTCTTTCAAGATCAGACTTGACCAACACTGGAGCAGGTTCAGGTACATTCAGGAGCCGGTGCATGCCCAGTACTTGCCAACAGTGCATAATAGAGATGAGAGATGTGACCGATCGCCCAAGAGGCTAACGAGCCGATCAGTGGTGAAGAGGATAAAAGTAAAGTAAAAGTATATGCTGAGAAAGCGAACAAGGGGCTTATCTAGCAATCGTCCCAGTATATGGGCATTCAAAACTCCAGATGGCTGTACAGGCCTCACCTGGAATACGCTCAGTCAGTCAGTATAGTCCCCATGTAGCGTAGGAAGAAAACTGTGGTCGCTATTGAGAACATCCAAAGGAGAGCAACAAAGTTGGTTCCAGGCTAAAGGAGTTGAACTATCCCAAGAGGCTGAAGAAATTACCAACACTGGTATACCACTGCCTTACAGGAGATAGATACAGGTGTAAAAGATTATGAATAGGAAATATGACGAAGATTGATAGATGCATCAATCTGCCTGTTAAAGCACGGACAACTACTATGGGAAATGTGTTGAAGCTATACAGTACAAAAAAGATGTCAAATGCAGATAAAACAGGAAAAGTGATCAGTCCATGGAATATTCTTCCAGATATTGTAGTCAGTGTCCCTATACTGTACTGTATACAGTATATACCAGTATATATATAAAGAGAGAGCACACTAAGTAAAAGGACCCACCTGTAGCCACTTGGATTTACATGGTCCCAGGCCACACTGGGTGTCCTTCAGGTCCTCCTCAGTAAAGAGAGCCTCCAACTGGTCCTTCTGCTCTTTGGTCATCTTGTGGCTGAGGCTCTTTTCCTTTGGTGCCACCCTATTGGCCTCTCCTTTTTCTGTCATTTCCTAGGCCTATGCAAAATGGAGAAATGGTTATTATGAAATATATAAAATTAAGAAAAAAAATGCATAACCTGTTAAATACAGAAAAGGAGTAGACAATCTGTAAAAGAAACGTCAGAAGACACACAAAACATATACAGTACTGTATAAGAAATATAAAAATTAGTTCTTGTGAATTGCTCATGTCCTCTGGGTAATGAATGAAGTTTCATGCAAGACAGATGTAAGGACTCGCACCAGACACCGATGGTAGGGACAATGACAATACCCCCCAGACAAGGGGTATAACGGTATTTACAAAACACTCCCCTACTTACGACATACTTGACTTACGACAACCCGGACATACGACCGCCGTGGTTGTATAAAATATTTTTCAAGTTACGTATTTTCTAGTACCGACGTTAGTGATCGCGCTGTGTATTGACAAAATTTTAGAATTTCTATGTATTATTTTTGCCTTTTTGACTTACGACCTGGTCATCGAGACGGAACCCTGTCGTAAGTCGCCATTTTGACATAGGTGTGTCATCTGCATTCTATACTTTTTTGTATGTTTTGACCATGAAATTAGAATGCCTACACAGTAATTTAAAATTGTAGGTGTTGTGCCAAGGTCACCGAGTCACTGAGAGTCAGCGCAGCAAAGAGGGCAGAGTCAACTTAAAGACTTTACCTTCACCTTTCTCCAAACTCTACCACTAACCTACCTTTCATTCTTCATATCTTTATTGAGGTGGTGTGGCTGCCAAGACCTGAAAGGGTGTGATCTCTAGCACTGTTTTTGGGCTCTAGCTGCTTTTGTAGCAGTGTCGCTCCTTGAGAGGAAACCCAACCCTTCACCCCCTCCTCTGCTGCCAATGCTGGGCGGGGAGGTTCTGGTCCTGACGATCTTAGGACAATCCTATTCCATCGGGCAAGCTGTGTTGAGCCACAGCACCCTTTTCTACTCCTACAACTCCCTTCCATCCACCCTTTACCCTTCCACTGAACCTTCTTCACTTTTTACTTTTATCCTCTTCACCACTGATCGGCTCGTTACCCACTTGAACGATCGATCACGTCTCTGTTACGCACTGTTGGCAAGTACTGGGCATGCACCGTCTCCTGAATGTACCTGAACCTGTTCCAGTGTTGGTCAAGTCTGGTCTTGAAAGAGCTCACACTTGGTGCCATCACAACACTTTCTGGTAGATTGTTCCTAGAGTTCACAACTCTCACTCCGAAAAGTTTGCCCTCACAGTTTTCTGGACTTGCGGTTTCTTCAATCTTGAGCCGTGACCCCTTGTGGGGCGAGCGTCCGCCAGCTCCAAGTAAGGACACTTGACTGAGTAATGCCCCTTGAGATGCTTATACACCTCAATTAGGTCACCCCTTGCCTGTCTGTAGTATAAGCTTGTCACCTGTCTTTTGTTTAGTTAATTAGTTGTTTTGTATCATTCTCTCTGAGGAAGGCACAACGATGAAGTGTAAGAGAATAAAACTTCTGCTGTATTCTGTGCTTCCTTACCACCACAATTCACTCATGTATCATGAGTCCAGTCAAAATATATACATATATACAGGTTATATAAATATATAGGGCCGGATCCAGGCCGATGCGAATGATGCACTTACTTCGCTTAAAAAAATTCTGACTGATGCAAAGGTATCATATGCATCAGTCAACTGTCGGTAATGTGATCTCATTGTCAGTGCTGACCTGCATGGCTCGCCAGCTTCTGACCGTAGCTGTCACTTTCTGTCTCAAGGGCCTCGTGTCCCAAGGGCCTTGTGTCTTGTGTGATGGAGGCTTTCAGTTACAGCATCACATTAATCTTGCTAAGACACTCATCTCTTTATTACATCACATAACTTGTAAATAAATAAATAAGGTTGTGGTTATTTACACGGGTCTGTCTCTTTGTATGTTTGCTATTGTCAGTAATGGCTAGTGTAAGTTGTGAGCACGTCTGTGCCCTTCTGAGGGCCGAGTTAGTGAAGGTCAAGGACGAAAACTTGAAATTAAAGGAAGTGATTGCGAGGAGGAAGACACGAGACAAGGAAAGCCCATGTCTGACGAAGACACAGACGAATGGAGGGTTATCGGGAGAGGAACGACCAAATTAGTTAATTTCGCCTGATTGGTGGTATCATTGGTATACCGGTAGTGTGCTTGCCTCTCTTCATTATGTCATGGGTTCAATTCCCGACCCGGGACACATGAGAAGAGTGTTATAGTGTGATACTACCACACATGGCGGGTCTCCTTCAGATACCTGAACTACAGTCAATCCTGTACAGACACTGGACAGTATAGGTTACACTAATAACACGCCGATCTTTTGGTGAAGAGGATAAAAGAAAAGGAAAAGTAATCAGAGACGTGACCGATCGCCCAAGCTGCTAACGAGCCGATCAGTGGTGAAGAGGATAAAAGTGAAAAAAAAGGTGAAGCTGACATATGGTAAACAAAATACAGAAATTGTTTGACTGGAAAGTGACTGTCAAATAGCCAGCTCGTTGGGGGGGGGGGTCAATATTCCTGCTAAGTATCGGAAAAAACCGTTCACTGCTTTGGACTTACAGTACAGTACCTTGTTCACTTGAAGGTCACGTCTGGGCACAAGAGGCAGTAAGCTATTCCTTATAGTCCCACAAGCTTGTTCAGGGATACAATGAGTTCGTTATGTGACAGGTAAAAATATGTTGGTCACTGGTCTCTATACAGTAAATCATTTGTGTATGTCCAGTCACATCAAAACGTAATTTATGTAATAATTTGAGCTGATTCTCAAATGAGATGAACGGTTAGAAAATAAGAACGTGGCCATTTTGCGATTCTCAAGAATCACAGGTAAATTTTCTTCTTACCTGGAGATGGGATGTGTCTTATTTGAGCCATGACGCTGTGGTGGTGGCTACAGTGTAATTACATTGACTTTCAGTCGTGTTTATAAGTGTTGTCTTGTTTACAGTCAGTGCACCAAAGTAGTGTATAAACTTTTACGAATATGTAAGGTGAAAATTATACTGATGGTGCGTCAGTTACAATGGTGAGGGAGATTATGTTACTGTATTTGGCAGAACTTATACGACTCAATCAACGTAATAATATGATTCATGCCTAACGTAATCCAACACTCTATTTAAACTAACCTAATAATACCTAAGCCAGTCTAACTCTCTCTACCTGTTTGCACGAGTACAATAACACGCAGAAATACTTTTACTAAAAACGTACAGATTCCTACAGTAGTAGTAGCAACAGCAGCAGCAACTGTCGGGGCAGGGTTAAGTGTGTGCTTCCTGCCCATACACCGCCATCATCACTACACAACCAGTGGGTTACACTTAATAGTTGACAGCCGCCGCCAACCTTACTCTTGCACTACTGCCTCCAGATCTTCAACTATTTTGCAATAACTAATATCCCACAAAAAACATAAAGGCGAGAGGGGAAGGTGCCGATAGTCTCGAGGCTACTTGTCCGGTCGTATGTCTGTGGGTAATGGGTTTTTAGCCTTAAACCGACATCATTTTTGGCAGTAGCTGATTGAGTAAAAGTCTCACACTTCGACATTTTATGTTAAAATTGGACTGTAAAAGCTTTGAGAATCCGGTAGCAGTGCTTACCTCTGAGTTGGGATTTCACTCCCCGGTGTTGCGTTCTCAGAGGTCCCCCATCCTCAGAGGGCCCCTTGTATAATATGTGCCGTCACAACACTCTCTGGCAGATTGTTCCAAGAGTTTACAATTCTCTCTCTGAAAAAGTTTGCCCCCACAATTTTCTGGATTTGTAGCTTGAGCTGTGACCCCTAGTGAGGCAGGCGTTCGCCAGCTCCAGGTATAGACACTGAGTAGTGTCCTCTGAGATGTTTATAAACTTCAATTAGGTCCTCCCTTGCCCATCTGTAGTATAAGCTAGAAAGTTCCAGGCGCTCTAATCTATCTGGGTAACTGAGGTGCAGTATTACAGGCACTAGTCTGGTGGCTCTCCTTTGGACATTTGCAATCAACTGACAGTCTCTAGCATATCTCGGGGACCAGACGGGGTGACACTACTCCAAATGGGGAAGCACCTCACTCTTTGAAGAGCGTTACGATATCTATAGATATATGAGCGACCTCATAAGACCTACTAGCTTAGTTGCTTGATTCACCTTCTCACAATGGCCCGAGAAGTTCAGTTCATTGTCAACATACACACCCCGGTCCTTTTCGTATTCGGTCTCTGTTAATCTGTTTCTTCGTCCCGTTGGGACACGTGATATGCCTCCTTACTGTTGGTATGACCTATGTGCATTCTCTTACACTTCGTGCATTGAATCTTAACAGCCATTTCTTCAATTACTCTTGAAGCTGTCAAGAGATCTTTCTGCAGCTCTTCACAGTCTGTTTGGTTCTTAATTTCCCTGAATATCTTGGCATCGTCTGCAAATATTTGTATGGAGGAGTGTATAGCTTCTGCCATGTCATTTATGAAACAAGCAAACAACAACGGGCCCAGTACACTGCCCTTTGGTAGCCCGTTTGCCACGGGTACACATGACGATTTCGTGCCATTAATTACCACACGCTGCTTGCGGTCATGAAGAATGTCTGCGATCCACGCTAGGACACTTCCCCGAATCCCTTACCCTTCCAGTTTAATTCTCAGCCTTTCATGGACATCGCTTAACACAGTCTCGCAAGCCAAATGACAACACTCGGCTTGGGGTCAGTATTCTTAACTGTTCTCTAAATTTCCCGTTGTTTGAGATTATGTAATTGGCTCACTTAGCTACTTTATGAAATAGGCTGCCAATATGTTGTCATATTTCGCTGAGACTCGTAAATATAGATTTCGGACCCAACTGCAGCAAGGAAACTCATCGAAATAAATTGTACTTCTCCCAACAACCATTATCTGCTTTATCTTGAGTGTACGTCACATAAAACTTTCACCTGAGAGTTTGATATATAACTCAGGTTATCTTTAATTGAGTCACGCGGAAGACAACATACATTAAAAGGACATCTACAGAGTGGTACCTACAGTAACTATAACAGCTGGGGAGGTTAAAGGTAGTAGACTGCAGTGCCGGCCATGTTGTCTCCTTGTGTACTGAAGATTTCGATTTCAGTGTAACATAACTCTACCTTCGTCATGACAAGTGGGATCACTTGTAACTTACTCCTATAAAGTACGACACGAAGAAGGTGACTCAGGTGATCTTACAGTCAAGGCTTAGGATCACCTGAAGGTTAAACATCCTAACGCTACCTGGGGGTTAGGTTAGGTCAGGTCAGGTCAGGTTTGGTTTGGTCACGTTAGCGTTAGGTTCGGTCAGCAGTTTAGTTTTCATATTTAAGTTGGCTGAAAATTTAACGTTGGAACCCATGAAAATCTTGATACCTGTGAGATAACACTGACTAAGATAACACATTTATCTGTCGTGTATATCATTAATGTTATCACTGAGGGATGATAACTGTGTAGGATAATGAGGTCGTTTCTGTGCGTGTATGGAGACCTGTGGTGTAATGGTCAGCATGCTCGCCTTGCAAGCGAGTGGACTCGGGTTCGATCTCCGAGCAGCAATTGGGAACCTGTATGTTAATCGATTTGCTGATCGTGTTCTGGGGTAATGGTTAGCCAGTGCAGTTGGCGAGTTGTCCGATCTTCTCGGACTATTCCTTGACACCGGGTCATGCAGCTCGTTAACTCAGGGTGTGGTTGTTGTGTTGACGACAGCTTCTACACCTTAAACAAATTCATGCCGAGGTGGCATCCATTATTATTATCTGTGCGTGTGTTAGGGAGACTAGTGTTTATGTCATGTGTTGAGCTGTTGTGGCCACTGTAGTAAGAGTTGTGTTAATAGTTAATACCATGAAGCCTCGGCCTCGACCCACAACACAACACCTCTTATTGTGTTAAGCGATAGAGAGAAATTAGTATAAATCCAAGAAAATTTTTATAGTAAAAATATTCCAAATAAACACAATAGGTGGGCAGGTTAATGTAGCCTCACAGGAGGTAACGCGCGCACTCACTTTCATGCCAAAGGTTCGAGTCCTACTTTGCCCGGGCACATGTGAGGTGTCATCTAGTGTCACTACCAAACATCACATATTTTCTCCTGTATTAACACTGGACAAATAAAGTTCATAACAGAGTAACAAAGAACGAACCAACCACCCTAAAACTTAGTAAGTTGATAAGACTTGAAATGATGAAGGCGGCCATGGAGGCGAGGTCAACCAATCACGAAGCAGTTTAGAATAATACGGGCCTTCAAATAGCCAATCGAATCCCAGGAGATTTATAACTTCAATTTCGAGTTCAAATTATATAAACAAATAAGTCTAGGGATATAAAGTAGAGTTAATTTAAGCACACGACTATGTTAACTAAACGTAAACTTGTTTTAATAAAGGTAAAAGAAGTTTCATGTACCATCAACAGATACGACTCTGTGATCAAAGAGAGGACAGATTGCACTTCAAAGAGACTCTTAGTGTTAATAATCCCCAACCTTACCATTTATATATTTATGTAAGGCCCATCAGGATTGGGAACCATTAGGACTGAAGCCCATAACGTTTGGGCTTCAGTCCTAATAGTTATGTTAGGTTACTTAACTTGGGTGTGCTAGGACTTGGTCATTTGACTAGTGTCCAAGGTGACTTATTTTACAAACCTCACACACACACATACACTGAGAGAGAGTAGCAGTACGTCCTCTCCCCTTCACAGTCAAGGTTACACTGACTTACGAAGCTTCAATCTGACATCTCAGTAGTACGACTAAGTACCCTCTTTGAGTGGTCATCGTGACTATTGATTTAACAACACTGATAATAGTTGAAATAACCAAATGTGATTTTATTTTATTCATTTGTGTATACAGTATAAACACATATTTGTCTCTAAGATTACGCACGTGAACACTCTGTTAACCACAAAACTAATTATAAATAATGGATAAATTAGATCCAAGAGTAAATATGTAAATTTCGACTAGATGGTCAATTGTTTCGAATATGCAGGTGTTGTTAATCTATACACGACTTTGACTCACTAATGGAGAAAAAATGAATTTCACTCTGACGCTACGTACAAATAACTTAATATTTCAGCTTAACTAAATTATAAAATGACACATTATTATATAATATTGCACCAAGCTATAAATTACTTAATCTGTAGTAAGTTTAAGGTTCACAGATTATGAGAAACACGAGAAAGTGCACTTTACCTGTGTGATAAGTGATGGACACTGAGGAGATTGGTGACCCGAGTGACGTTATCAGTAATCATTATCAGTACTAAGTAACGACAAGTTTAATGTTGGCACTCCTGATATGCTGTTATATTTATAGTTTCATATATCCCCTCATATTTATAGTTTATCATGTAGTCTGTTACAGTTATAGTCTGTCATATATCAGGACTAACACGGGACAAATACAGTTCTTAGAAGGTAACGAAGACTTAACCAACCGTCCGAACGGCTAGTAATCTGATAAATGATATATACGGCACTTGTAAATAATAAGAAAAAAAAAATATATTTTAAGATCATTTGAGATTGGATCCTCCCCCCAGCCTATTTCACATGATCAACCACGCTCCTTGGGGGAAGTTAGGTTAGGTTACGTTATGTTAGATTAAAAAATATTAGGTCATGTTAGGTTAGCATTAGGTATGGTAAGATTAGGTCACGTTAGGTTAGGTTAGGTTAGGTTAGGTTACATTACGTTGCTGAAGATCTTACAGGAGCAGGAAAAGTGGAGGGCATCAGAAAGTGGTGGGACCCGGTAACATCACGTGGTCCACAAATATGGTACCACCCAAATGCCAGCAAGTCCTTCCTCTTTGTGAAGCCAGAATACCATGACCGGGCTACAGAGGTGTTCAGCGGAAGTGAGGTCAAAATAACAAAGAACGGCCTAAGACACCTAGGTGCGGTAATCGGCACGAACGATTTCAAGGCCGAGTACGTAACGGGAAAGGTAAATGAGTGAGTGAAGGAAATCAAAGCTCTGTCTGATATTGCTAAGCCACATGCGGTCGTTTGCGGCATTCACCCACAGGGTCTTGCATCGCTGAACTACCTGATGCGTACTATCCCCGATATCGGACCCCTCCTCCACCCGCTGGAAGAAGCCATCACGGTCGCTTATTACAACACTAATGAAAAGCCACCATTTAACCCCAGCCGAAAAGTCACTCCTTGCACTACCACCGAGACTGGGAGGAATGGGAATTGCTAATCCAGAGGAGCTTGCTGACACCGAACATCAGAACTCTGTCAACTCATGGCAGCCCTCACTGAGCGCATAATAGCTCAAAATGTAGCAAGTCAGGCGGATACCAACGAATTAAACAAGATTCGACGTTCCATTACGACATATCGGCAGCACACCCACAGCTATAAACTTCAACAATTGATGCAGCAACTGTCACAACCAACGAAGCCAGTGTGGACGTCAGTGCTCGAGGAGTCTAGATGCGGGGGCAGCGACCCTTCTTTGATTTCAGGATATTCGATCCCATGGCCGTATGTCACCGTAACCTGTCTTTCAAGGCTGCACACAAAGAGAACAAGAACGACAAGAACACGGCGTATGACGAGAGAATTAAGAACTCCTTTGGTGATCACAACATTTGGCGGGATGGGACCAAGTGTAAGATGCTTCCAGACTGGCCGATGTGTTATCTGAACAGAAGCAGCATCCCAGAAGCTGTGTTGCAGCCTGGTCAGCATTGCTTTGCCTCGGGGAACAACAGTCGTAGACAGACTATGAGGCAACAGTCACTGAATGCAGCATAGATTTGCCGCTTAACT